ATGTGCTAAAATACAACTAAAAGATACGTCGTCTATGGGAGTGTGTGCGCCCACCCTGGGGCCCTGGCTGGCAATTGAGAGGCGCCTGCAGCCGGCACTTTTCTAATTCGGTTGCTCTATGGGGAACATGCCACTTTGGGGCACGGCTCGGCTTGGGCTGGCACGTTGCACACACAAAAGCGCAGTTCACTTGCCACAGGATCGTGTGCGGCACCCTACTGGTGCTGCCTGGTCTCTGCCTTTTTGGCCAACTCTCAAATGCCACCTCTTTTTTTTTTGTTGTATGTTTTTGTTTGGCTCCAAGGGGCATCTTTGACAGCCATAAAAAAGCACGCCATTTTCTTCTTTTGGTAAAGTTTTGTGTAATTTTCATTTTGCGCTTGTCGCGTGTGTGTTTTCCCCCCACCCCTCCCCCTCCTCCCCGCCAGATACTTGGCACACAGACGGACACAATTCGAGTACTTCTGGTGCCTCCAGACAATGTTTGCACATCCGACTGTCCAGCCGTCCGTCCGTCCGGACTTGCCGCAATGCAGCAGTGCAATCGGGTAGGGCTCCGGCTTGCGCCCCCCCCCCCTTGTGGACCAACACGTGACCGACCTCCTCCGGGCCCATGTCGAGCGGGGCATCCACTTTTGCGGCCACAAAATGCGAGCATCAAATATTGAAAACATTTTCTTTACCCCGCACTGCCAGCCCGATTTCATGGCGGCGCCTGGTGGGTCCCTGGTGGGCCCTGGTGACGTGGCCCGCCCGATTGGTTTCTTGGCAACAAAACCCCACCGAACTGCAGCGCCTGCCACGTTGTTTATTCAACCCAACTCGACTTGCAACTTATGGCAGCGATGGCTTTGATTTTGGCACAGACAACGGCTACTGTGTCCTCGGATTACCTCTGTTTTTCCGAAGGATTGAATGATAGTAACATTTATTATCCCCAATAATTCAAAAGATCCTTTGCAACACTTTAAAGTCCTTCCCCACCTCCAAACCTTTTTAGTTGCGGCTCCACTTTAATTTCTGCCATAAATTACATTTTACAACCTCCCTCCTCCTACCCTTTGGAAGCCCTGCAGTCGCCTCCTGGTCGCCTCCTTCTAATTTGCTTAGTTTTCCTGCACTTTTGCCTTGTCGCAATGCCATAAATTCTCCCCCCACACCCCCCTCCCACCGTCTAGGGCTATAAATTACAAGAGGCATTTGCCACACTTCCGTCCGAGGTCTGCTTTGGTCTGGTCTACCAGTTACTCTTCCAGATATTTGTGTGCCTTAAAGCGGCTTAGTTGTTGGTGGAGTTCTGCCGGCTCATCTGGCCAAAGGGGTGGCTCCAAAATCAATAACTACACAAGTGTTCCGGCTCTCTGGGGCTGGTCTGGTTGTCCCTGGTGAAAGTTTGGTGTGTGTGTGCCCTTGTGCAGCTTCTTGAAACTCACCTTTTCAAAAAGCCTGAAACTTTAACACTTCAAACTGCATTGCGATGGCTAACAACCCCCAGACCTTGGGCCGGCCCCAACTCCGCCAGACAGCCAGCCCGTGAGCCCATGTCGTCTGGCTTCGCGGCGGTCTTTCGAGGGGAATTGTAATTCTAGCCCAGACCCAGACAACCACTGGCGACGCTTTGTCTGTCAGACAAATGTGGCATAAAACGATTTATTTGGCTTTATCAGCAACATTTTTGATTTTCCTTTGTCTCTGGCATTAAATTGCTAGCTCGTTTTTTTCCGATCGCTGATTTACTAACCTTCCACCAGGCATTATCTCTTGGCACAAGAGCAAACCACCCCTGCGACCAGCAGCGGAGGGTGGCCACCGGCTCAAGTGCATGGCAGGGCCCAGGACCGTGCCAGGATACGTGTATGCGCCGGCATCAACATGAAATTTATTGAGGTAGTTACCAGGCCAGGCGAGCGGTGCAAACAAAACGAAAAAACGAAAAAAAAAAACATGCAAATTCTGCCATTTTTTGCAGCGAACAGAGTTGCCACCGTAGAGCAAACAAGGCAGGCGACAACCCTGTTGCCACAACAAACATGCACAAAAAATGATGACAGAGGCAGAGTCAACAAGCAAACAAACAAACAAGAAAAAAAAGAGTGTTGCAAATTGAAAGCGGTTTTAGGCCAGCAGCAGCGGCAGCATGCTGGTACGGGCCAGGTCAGGGGGTGGGGGGTGGGGGCCACTCACCTGAATAGGAATGAATAGAAGGCAATCTTTAGTATTCTTTTTTGGAATGTATAATGATATGGGACGAGGAGGCCCTGTAGCCAGGGAAACCCTGCGAATCGATATGTTCTAAGGGAATTGCACATATTCCGGCTTCCCCCAAGAGTGGGGGCAATGCTGCTCATATCGATATGTTCCAGGGACGGCGTCCTACCCACTAATGGAATTTCACATATTCGGGCTTCTCCACAGTGCCCGTGTTTATTATTCATTTCCTTGGCAGTGGCTCGATGAAAATGCTTTTCCAGCAACGCTTTTCAGCCCTTGGGGGCCCCCCGCCAGCGCCTGCGGTTGTCGTCAACACGCGGGAGCACCAGAGGAAGGGGGGGGGTTGGTTATGAACAGCGATAGCTGTTTGTTATTGCTTTAGCTGGTTGACTGGTTCCGGTTATTGTTATACATACCATTGCACTTTGATGCACTCCAACGGCACTGCAGTTGTCATAAATATCTTGCATTTGCATTTGCCAGCACTGGAAAGCTTTCCTTTGCACTTGTAAACTTAATATTCCTCAATCGAAACTTCTAACCTCCAAGCAAATGTAAACTTCAGTGTGATACAGCCTTAAAATTTTCTTCCTCCAAGCATTAATGGTACTCCCGAAACCGCTTTACTGCTTGCTCAGGGTAGTATTAGTATTTCCTGGGATTATCGCCTCCTAGTATCGAATCGAGTTGGCAGACCCCCTGTCTCTGAATTAACTGTCAAACGTCAACGGGAATGATTTGTCATTGCTACGTTCGAGTTCACAAAATTGTATTCCTGTTTCTGTTCAGTTGTGAAAATTTTATCCGTTTCGGAAAAAAATAAAATAAAATATTTTTCATTGCATTGTGCCCTCAAGGAATGCCAAATTAACGAAATTCATTTACCAAATTTATCGAAACCGAGTGCAAGCGAAATTTCAAGTAGCCACCAAAAGAAAAGAATAAGAAACGAGAAGAAGGAAATTTCAAATTGTTGGTTAAGATGAGGGCAGCCACAGTCAACGCCGCCGCCAGCGACTCCCAGGCCGGGAGGCCATCAGCTGGCACTCCAGAAAAACGTGTTGTGGGAGTTTCGTCCCGAATTTTTCGCAGTCGCTCAAGCAGTGAGTAACTCAAGCACACACACGCACACAATTACGGTATCAATCGAACAAAAGTATTTCAATGTCAGCGGAGAGTAAGAACGGCATAGAGGGAATAGAAAAATTTGCGGGCAGAGCGAGAGAGGGAGAGCGAGAGGCCCGTCCGCAAAAGCAGCAACAAACAAAAAAAGTCGGGCACAAAAATGCGCGATTTACTTTGCTCATAATTTCTGATCGGCCGCGCACTCTCTCGCACGTTGGCTAGCGCTCGCCTGCCCTCTCTCTCGCTCTATTACTTAGTTGCGCTCTCGCACTTTGCTTTTTTTTTTGTGCACAAAGTTACGCAATTATCGCTCTCGGCTATAGATTCGCATTTCTTTTGGTTTCGTTTCGTGTGTGTTTGCTGCCGCCGCCGCCGCCTCTGCTGCAGCTTTTGCTTCGTTTTTTGTTTGAAAAAAGTCAAACACACACACACACACATGTGAGTGTTCTACTGATAATATTTTCGCCTGCTTCGATGTGTTTTTGGCGCTTGACAACTACCGAAAATATGCATTTTCATTATGAGACCCGAGAGTCCGAGTCCGTTGCGCACCATAAATATTCATTTATGATAAATTGCCCAATGCAGCTGCAGTCCCCAAAGCAGTTTACCCCGCATGTTTCCACTCGTTTCTAAGTATCGAAACACATGGCAAAAGTGGAAGCAAGCAAATACCACATACATGCATGAATATGTGTGTATTTCTGCAATCGACGAATGTATACTCTTACGGTACTGTGTCGCAGATGGGAATTAATACCGATTACTGATCGAATATGCCCCCCGAAAGGGTATCGCACCTGACAGGTTTGTGCCTCTGAGGTGTTTGCAGATAAGCCAAGTGAAACATGTCTAAATTTAATTGAACCAAAGACCAGAAGCACTGCTGCCAAGACTTTAACCAGTTTAGACACACTAACACAGATTTATGCCGCCCGCAAGCCGCGCGAATGTTGCCATGGCGACTGGTGCTCCTACGTCACGGCTATCGCTATCGCGAGTGCAAATCTATCGCTCATACGCACTCGCTCTCTCTCTCTCTCTCTGTTTCTGTGTGCTCGATATTGTTTACATTTGTTCTGTCTCTTCCTCACGCACTTTTTTGCTGTGCGTGTCCCACTGGCAGATCGCGTCATTTTTTTGTTTGGAGTCAACGAACTTTTTGGCAAACGTGCTCACGCACTTTTCTCACACTCTCTCCGAGTCTCTCTCGCTGTCTCTTTTTCGGCCGGGTGCGTGAGGCGATGCGTAAAGCTGCGAAATTTCTGTTTCGCGAATTCTCGCGACCCATTTCCAAAACAGAAACAACAACACTCTGTAGCTATTTCACTTTTTTACGGCCTGGCGTCGCGTTCGTTGAACTCTTCAAGGTAAATGCGCTGTGCGCTGACTTGGGGAGCACTCGGAGAAAAAGGAGAGTTACATTAAATGGTGAAATAAGAAAGTACATAGGAAGTATTTCTTCACTCTACACTTAGAGAAAAAAAAGAGTTACATTAAATGGTGAAATAAGAAAGTACATAGGAAGTATTGCTTCAGTCTGCACTTAGAGAAAAAAGAGAGTTACATTAAATGGTGTTTTATTAAGTATTTTACTTTAAATTATTTTTCTAATAATTTTTACTAATTTCGGAACCCACTTTTGTATATTTTTGTTGTTGCAGAAATGGCGGAGGGTAATGGCGAGCTGTTAGATGACATTAATCAGAAAGCCGATGACCGTGGCGATGGCGAACGTACAGAGGACTATCCGAAGCTCTTGGAGTACGGTCTGGACAAGAAGGTGAGTTGGCTAACCCACCCGGAGGACCTCCAGCCTTTTAATTTGATGACTTGCGTCACGTAGGTCGCTGGCAAATTGGATGAAATTTACAAAACCGGAAAACTCGCTCACGCCGAGCTGGATGAGCGCGCCCTGGACGCGCTCAAGGAGTTTCCCGTCGAAGGTGCCTTGAATGTGCTGGGTCAGTTCCTCGAATCGAACCTGGAGCATGTGTCGAATAAGTCCGCCTACCTGTGTGGCGTGATGAAGACATACCGCCAAAAGAGTCGGGCTAGCCAACAGGGCGTGCCCGCGCCCGCCACTGCCGTACAGGTGAAAGGTCCCGATGAGGACAAGATCAAGAAGATTCTCGAGCGCACCGGCTACACATTAGACGTGACGACAGGTGGGTTGTCTGCCACGGCCATAGCATACATGCGATGCATCTAACGATAATGTACTTGAAGGTCAACGAAAATATGGCGGACCGCCACCGGACTGGGAGGGCAACGTGCCCGGCAATGGATGCGAGGTGTTCTGCGGCAAGATACCCAAGGACATGTACGAGGATGAGCTCATACCGCTATTCGAGAACTGCGGCACAATCTGGGACCTACGCCTTATGATGGACCCGATGACAGGCACAAATCGTGGTTATGCATTTGTCACATTCACAAACCGCGATGCGGCCGTCAATGCAGTGCGCCAGGTATTTATGCCAACCATTGAATCGCCCACCAACCACCACCCACCAGCCCACCAGAAACCCGGCCCCCCGGCCCACCCAAACAGCAACCAAAACCCCCAAAAACCCCCCGTCCACGACCCTGAATCAGTGCTTTAATGTTTTTTATACGTATTAACTATTATCCTCCTATATATATATATATACTTTATACTATATACTACATCTATAACGTATTGTATCCACATATTTACTCTCGGAACAAGTAGGAAACAGCTATGCGGCCAAAACAAAACCAAAATTCGACCTAAAGAAAGAGCAACATTTGCGGAAACCCAAACTTTAAAAGAGAAAACGATTCGGCGCTTTTAGATTCAACGAGCAAAAATTTGATGCAATTTTATTTAGTTTTTTTTTTTTCTTACCTACCGTATGCTAACTTTACAGTTACTTTCTGCTGTACTGTACTGTACCTCTCTGCCTTGATATTTCCAAACAAATTCGAACCATAGGCAACGCTATCTGTCTCACTATCTGCTGTCTCTCTCTCTCTCCGCTCTCTCTCTCTCTCTCTGTCTCTCTTTTTCTGTAACTTGTAATGCATGTCCCGTCTTCTACTACATATACTAGTACATACATATATGAGTTGTAATATTTAGTTAATCCGAAAGAATCTCTCTCTACCAGCGCATTCGAAATCGTACAAATTTCAGATTTGAAAAGAGTTCTCTCTCTCTCTCACTCTATCTAAAGAATAATGATAATCTGGCCTCCTCCCTCTACACACCCCCACACGACACACACACACACACACCCAATCCAAGCCCCCCGTCTATTTCTGTATTATTTGATATACTATTTTCTTTTTAGTTGAATTCTCTTTAATCTTAAGTCGAGCTATGTAGCTATCAACTTTTTCGTAGAGATCTAAGCAGCGTGCGTGTTCTCGACCATACTGTCTGGTTTTATTTAAACGAGCATGTCCCAACAAAAACTTGCAGAACGTGATATGTACCTCTTTAACCATTTAATCACTAACCAACAAAAAAAAACAACGTTTTCCTTTAACATTTTCCAAAAAACAAAAAAAAAAACCTCAACTGCGGCCCCGCTTCGAAACGAAATTGGTAATGCAATAAATTACTTTTCAAAGTCTTCTTTTTAGTTAACCTTTCCCTACAAAAAAAAAAAAAAAACCACCTCCCCCTTAATTGATTTATTTCGAAATTGTTTAATTAGTTCTTATGATTTATGATTTTGTTGTCGTATTATTATTTATTATTAACAGTGAATTGGTATTAAAAAGAAACTCGTTTTACCTTCCCTTCCACCATTTAGCTCGATAATCACGAAATAAAACCCGGCAAGTGTCTGAAAATAAATATAAGCGTACCGAATCTGCGCCTTTTCGTAGGCAATATACCCAAGTCAAAGGGCAAAGATGAAATTTTAGAGGAATTTGGTAAACTTACAGGTAAATTGTCAAACAAAATTAACAAAACAACAAAAAAAAATGTATTTTAAATTACCATCAACTGGAGGTGGAGAGTGGAGAGCTCCATGCTCCAAAAATCGGCTTTAAATCGAAAACAAAAATCCAATTGGCTAAAATGGGAAAATTGGCTAATTGCGGGAGGACTTACCGTTAGGACTTTAGGCTAGGAAAGGGTCGTAGGATTTTTAGTATACATTATTTAATATATTTATTTTTTGTTTCACAACTCATTCTAACTATTCACCCACCGCCTCACCCACACTGCCACAACCATCCAGCCACCCAACCATCTACCGCCCATCCGCCCATCTACACATTGAAAGGCGTCTGCCCCCCACCACCCCCCCACCCAAGCTGCCTGAGACACTCTTTTCAAATGCGCGCGCCGCTCACCAAAAAAACAAAAACAAAAAACAAACCACAATCATCAACGGATGCATTCCTAAGTTGTATCTTTTAGGTTGCCTCATAGCACACCCACACACACACACACACACACACACACACACATAGAAACAATGACACGCCCATTTCTGTCATTGCCATACCGTTATATAAGCTTGAATTGTCGTACAAGAATATTTCTTTTCAACTTATTTACATAATATCTCCAGTCATTAACTTTGAACCAAAAAAAAAACCAAAGAAAACCAAACCAAACCGAAAAAAAAGAAAGAAATTTTTAAAAATTATTTACCAAATTAATATGCATTCCAACAAACTTTCGTTTTCCATTATGTTCTATAACTACTATTCCACATTGTAAGAAAGCAGGCTACCCTCCTACCCTCTAGATACTATCAAATATTACGTATACGCAGCGTTGAGTGTTCAAGCCAGAAAGTCGCTCGATTTGAAACGCCCAATTGGCCAAAGCAAAAAGGTAAGATCTGGTCGGTAAGGAGTGACTTTCTGGCTGTAAATACAACAATATAGAACATGCCTGCAGAATTTGCCCATATGTTTTTTTTTTGTTTTTTTTTTTCCTTTTCGAACTTGTATAATTCTGCATAGTAAGTACTAGACTAGTAGCTGAAAACAGACCAGCCGAATAGCTAAAGAAATGAACAATTTTTTGAGTAAATTCCGTTTTTATTTGGCACGCATACAAAGTATAAAAGAAAACCTACTAAAGACTAGATTCTAGAGTTCCACACTTACCTTTGTACCATCACCCCATACCACACACACACACACACACACCAGTCACATAATTCACCCAACCCGAAAAACCAAAAACCAAAAACCAATCCAAAATCAAATCGCAGTACCAATGGAATACAAATTTTTCATAGCAAATCAAAATTTTCTTTTGTTTTGTGTGAACTTTTAAACAATTGCAGCTAAATGATTTTGAAATTCGGAAAGGCAAAAAGATTGGTGTTACGATATCATTTAACAATCACCGGCTATTTGTCGGCAATATACCTAAGAATAGAGATCGCGACGAATTAATTGAGGAATTTTCTAAACATGCACGTAAGTGATCCAAAAACCAAAAAACCAGCAACCAAAACCAACCACAAACAAAGCAAAAGACCCAAAAAAAAAATACAAAATAAAATATAATACCTAGACCCTATAGCCCCCGCCCAGCCCCTAGACCATAGACCAGTCCAGCACATTCCCCCCCACCCCCAATTGGCTCCCGGAATTGGCCGAAAACAAATAAATATATATATATAAATATAATCTAATCAATGTTTTTAGGGGCGATACTTGCAGAATGTGAAAAGAGCATGGAAGCCTGTTTATGCCAAGTATCAATTGGATTTTTGTTTTGCAATTTTCGCTTTTAAAACGCTTAAAACAACTCAAAATTGATAACAAAATTTATGATACACTCAAAAAAAATACAAAAATAAATCCCAAAACACGAACAGCATCCTAACCAGAGACCAGCATCCAAGGTTGGGCCTCGATGGAAGCCCCGCCTTGGGGTCGATTGATTTTAATCTATTACTCTCTCTCTCTCTCTCTGTCATTCTCTATACTCTCTCACTCATTCTCTCTAACTTTAAGCGCTGTTAGTAAATACAACAAAAAATTAATTGTTTTTTTTTTTATAATTTATAGACTCATTTTTCCAATTATTAAATGTGCCCAATTTGTTGACGTTGAAAACCTGTAGCTAAACAATTCGCCAAAAAAGAAAACAAACAAAAAAACCAAAATCAAAAAAAGAAAGAAACATTTTGAATATTTTTGAAAAAGGGACAAACCTAGTTTTTGTTTTAGTGCAGACTTATATACGATTATATCATATACTACTATAATATAGATAACAAAACGGCGCACACCAAAAACCGAAACCGATCCCGCCCCAAAACCAATATAAGAAAAAGCAATTCGTTTACCTAAATCGATATGTTCTGGCCTATTCACGTTGAATATATATACTATATACTACTTAATGACTGGAGACAACAAGCCTTTAAAAAAGAAAACTCATTTTACTCTATGTTTCTCTAAGTGTAACTATCTATCTCTCACATAAGCGCCACAACCCGAGCAAAATTGAACAACCCAACGAATCAAATCAAATCGATATTGAAACTACTCGAAAACCAAATTCAAAAACTCTGCCCATATTTTGTTGTTTCGTTCGTCTATCGATCTCTTTTTGTATCTCAGTGTACACAGTTCTCTCTCTCTATATAACTCTATCTCTCTCTCTCTCTCTCTATATCTTACTCTGTCTAACTCTGGCTATGTTTGTGTATAGTTTATACCCATTATTGTTTCCATTACTAAGAAAAGAAAAGAAATGAAACCAACCCCCAGCTCAATGTGTGCTCTACTCGTACTCGTATTCGTACTTCGTGTTGTGTTTTTTTTTCTGTTATACATCGATCGTATTCGTTTTCGTTTAGTTTTTGTTGCCACATGTACTATATATATACAAAAATCAAAAACAACAACCAAATAGCAATACCAGAGGTTTTTTTAAGTGTTTTTTCTAAGTGTGTGTTTCGTTTTACAAAATACTCTACATAACCTTCTATCCGTTACGTTACGTTACTCAATGTTATACCACCCCCCGTACCCCCCCGCTCTCTCTCTCTCTCTCTCTCAGTAAAACTTTGTCTCCGATCCTTGCATTACCCGTTACACACGAAAATGTTACTAGCTTAGCCGCATTCTCTCTCAATTATTCAAAAATATTTCAAAAAGTTTAAGCAAAAGCAAATGAAGCAATTGTTGGCATTGGTTTTCAAAATCAAAAAAAACACACATACACACACTATATATATATCGGAAAGATTCATTATTTTACATAACAATGATAGCCAGATGGATGGATAATGCTTGTCATGTAAAATTTTGTGCATTTCTCTTCAAATATTCCATATATGTATTTCTTATAATTACATGTGTGTGTCTCAGTGTCTTATCACATCTATACTCTCTCTATCACACACACACACACACACGCCAAAATACAAATACTTTTTTGTTGTATTTCTTACGTTGTTTTTTCTATTTTTACAATATGCAACCAACTAATCATAAAATTGCATTCGAATTGATAACGCCATTTCAATAGCAACGTACTTAAATGACATTTTTCTTTATATTTATAAATAAATCTGAACCCGAATCTGAACCTATAGCTGGCCTTTACGAGGTAATCATATACAGTTCACCAGACGATAAGAAAAAAAATCGCGGCTTCTGCTTTCTCGAATACGAGTCACACAAGGCGGCATCTTTGGCCAAACGAAGACTTGGCACTGGTAGAATTAAGGTGAGTCCACGCCCCCCCAGTCCCCCCATACCCTATCATAGCTATCCCTAACACATGGTTTTTCCCTTCACAGGTATGGGGATGTGATATAATAGTCGACTGGGCCGATCCACAGGAGGAGCCAGATGAGCAAACTATGTCTAAGGTTAAAGTTCTTTATGTGCGAAATCTAACCCAGGACGTCACAGAGGAAAAACTAAAGGTTTGTATTCCAAAAGAGAATGGAACACACACGGATTAATTTGTATTTCTATGTCTAGGAACAATTTGAGCAATATGGCAAAGTAGAACGCGTTAAGAAAATTAAAGACTATGCCTTTATACACTTTGAGGATCGTGATAGCGCCGTCGAAGCTATGCGTGGCCTTAATGGCAAGGAGATCGGCGCCTCGAATATCGAGGTAGGTGCCCCAAACCCCTACGAAAGTTCCAAATAAACTCTAACCCTTCGACTGTTTAGGTCTCACTCGCCAAACCGCCTTCAGACAAAAAGAAAAAGGAGGAAATTCTGCGCGCCCGTGAACGTCGCATGATGCAAATGATGCAGGCACGTCCCGGCCTTGTGGGGTATGTACTTCCAGCCCAAATATTTGCACGATCCTTGGCTAGCACAACAACAATCTACCAACAAAATAAACCCTGGCGCAAAATTCCAAATCACAAAAAACAAATGCAAAAGTCCTGCATTTTATTCGTTTCGTTAAGAACCCAAATTGATCTTAATTTCTGTTTGCTTTTCAAGTCGCCTGCCACTAGCTTAACAAGAGCTTGAATTAATTTATTTTTTCTACTTTATATTTTCTTTCTTTGCCGCAAACTTCCGTCACACAAACCACAAACCACAAAACATTGCCAATTTATACTCAATCCCGTCTTTCGATCATGTGGGATAAACCTTGTAAAGATTTGAAACATTGTCTCCATACAGAAATCTGTCGCCGACACATCCCAGCATGATGTCCTTGACGCCCATGCGCCTGCCAGGTGCGCGCATGCCGCTCCGTACGCCGATACCTCGCGAATACGGTAAGTTTGGCAAATTGGCCAAGTGAATCCATCAGATACATTCTAGATGTCTGTATGTACATGCATATACATGTATATGTGCTCGAACCATCGCTGCCATCTGCCAGACGATGATGATGGTAGATGAGAAAGCGAAGGCCGCAAGCGCCTTCCTTTGGGACAACAAAAAAAAGAAGAAAAAAAAAATACTTTATAACTTTTGTTAATTTTTGTTTAGTTTTCGTAGTCAGTTAGCCAAGTTGTTAGGCACACACAAACACATATACTAACACTCTCACACATGTAAACACATACACACACACACATATATGGCGTATATAGAGCTGCTGACCCCCCAAAAAAAAAACCCCGGTACTTATTTGATAGGTTTGTGTTCTAGTTCTAGTTGAAAGAGTCTAACCAAAGCCGTAAGCAAAACACTAATCCGGTCTGCAGTTGTTTAAGTCTTAAGTTATACGATATTGTATCATGTCCACCATTGAGATCGCAACGTTTTGTTCTTATTTTGTTGAAACTTCTTGATTATTGTTTCTGTTTCTGTCTCGCCTCATCATTTTAGTTAGTTCTTTAAGGTTTACCAAATGTGCGCTCAAAAACCCACTAACAAATGTACGCTCGCCCCCCCCCCAGCCCCGCCCCCTAACCACTACACATACACATACACCCACCACACACACACACACACAGATACCTAGAGCCCTTAAAGTCACGCTTAGCACTGCCCCCCCGACGTACTCTCCAGCTAGATTGAGTCTACTAACCCCCCACTAGCTCGAATAACGATCCAGATCGAGATCGAAACATTGGCAAACCAATTGAGACATAACCTCACTTTAACCTGAACATAACCTCACTTGTCACTTCTCAATTGTTTATATTTTCTGTTTCCGTTGTTTCATTGTACTAATCGTAAATGTTGTTGGTTTTTCCCTATTCTATATTCGCATTTGCAAGTTATGTGTCGATATCGCTCCGTCTCTCTCTTGTTTTTGTTTTTGTTTATTTATTTGCATGTTCGTTTTTGAGTTCCATTTTCGATGTTGTCGATTCTTTATAGTTTTTGTTTACTCCCTCCGTCCTCCTGCTCCTCTGAACCTCTCTCCATCTCTCTCGCTCGCTCTCTGTGTCGCAGCCAAAGTGCAAAGCAAACAACTACAACTACAACATTACCTACTCTCATAACTGAAACGGAAACCCAAACCGAAACCCATCAAAACCCATAGAACATTAGCCATTAAACCTTAAACGTTGTTCATAGTTGTTTATGATAATTAAATGTTGCAATTGTGTTCTCTGTGTAGCGAATGTTAAGCACCCTGTATACTGTTTGATGTTATATCACCGGTAAGTAATCCTCAAGTCTCATCTACTTAAGCCCCCCTTCGACCACACACACGCTCCAGCCACAGATCCCACATCCCACAGAATCACACACCTCCTTTGAACAGCTCCTTTGCGTTACAGTACGCGCCCAATTCGTGCAACATTGGCAAAAGGTGAAACAATTGGCAGCCTAGGACTAGGTCTCTCAGCTATAACCCACCCCCCCTGCCCCCCGAACTAAGGGCCGCATCATCACTAACCTACCTTATCCCACCTTATCCTACCCCACCCAACCCCACCCAAATGGCCTGCACAACATTATTTAGAGGTCGATTACGACTATTTTGGGTACCCGGAATACCGTCCTGGCCTGGCCACCAACGAAATGTATATCGACGATATCTACCGCACCTACGAAGGTGATTTCCATTACTATAACTTTCCAAATGCCACCAACGATGGCAGCAGCGTCGGCGGCGGCGGCGGCGGCGGCACCAGTCTCGGCAGCGGAGTCGGAGTCGGAGGCGGATCCGGAATGGCTGGGGCCACCTCAAGTGCCGTACAGCATTCGTCGAGAGCCCAAGCAAATGGCTCGAACTCGTCGGCCGTTATGGTGCGTTATAAATAGATCTTTTTTGTTTTTTGGCTACTCCCGAATCGGACAACAATCAGAGAAAAACAACAACAACACGCACACAGAAACACACGAGAATTGTAGAACATATTTGTTAATATATATTGTATATTTGGTTTTATTCTGATTAGATCCTTCAGTTCTAAAGAGTTGCCGCCCCAAACGTAGTGTTTTGAAATGTATTTATATTTTGTTGGTTTTATAAACGCTTTTTTTTGTTTTGGCTTAACGGATGCTTTAATTTCCCAAAATTATATTTTCTTCATTTCGTTTTACAAAAGTCAAAATTTGCACGTTACATGCTGCTGCACCCAAAAAACCAAAGCCACGCCCACACTCACACAGAAACAGACCCACACACAGACACAGACACACACAAGTGCACGCCCATTGCTGGAAGGAGTACACATATATACATCCATACATATTCGCTGCCTGTTTCGAGAGAATCGAGAGAACCGCTTCGCCACGCCGCCCATTGAAAACATGCAAACAATTAACAATTTGTGCTTTATTATTGTGCTTTAATCTTTATGCTTTGCTTGTATAACTCGCCCCTAATTGCACCCACCCATCGACCCGGCAGGCCCAAATACCCATTAATTATAATTTGATGAGCTGAACACAGCGTGCTCCCCATATAATTTTTTTAATTTTAATTCGTGTTTAAGTGAAGCGCTTTTTAGTTTTAAAATATGATTGCCCTAAATATACATATATTGTTATTATTATGCCAGTGCTTTAATAAACCATTAACCGCATACGCTTATTGTAAAACCTAGCTTATAATTTTTAAACAAATTTACAAACTTGGTAAAGTTATTTTTTTTTTTTTAATATTTTATTCGTTGAATATTGTGTCAATCGCAAGAGGAAAATACTTTTGTTGCCTGGACATGCGAGTAGACGTGTCATATCCGTTGTTATAAGTATATTATAATATCCGATTGAAGCAAGACAAAGACTAGCTAAAAGATACAGATACAGATACAGATACTGAGAGAAGCAAATACATTTTAGTTAATTATTGAACATCAGCAGACGTATCTCTCTATATCAATATACACATATATCTTATATGCATACATTACATCGTGTATGTACAATCAAACAAAAAACAGTTTACACCAAGAATCTAACGCGTTTATTTCGATTTTTTCTTTTCTTTTCTTTCTTTTTATGTGTTCTTGTTATATATATATATATATACTTATCTATATACAAACAATTCATTTGTTTTTCGGTACAATATGACAAAACAAAAAAAAACAAAAAATCTTGAAAAATTATATATATGTTCGTCAAAAACAAAAAACAAAAAAAAAATTACCAAAACCAAAAACCAAAAAAAAAATGCCCACACTAAAATTACGAATTCTATATCTCTGCCATTTACCTAAATCAAAAACCAACCAACGACCAAATCAAAAATCAAAAACCAAAAACCAAACCAAAAAAAAAAACCACCATCGATTACCTTTCTTTTTCGAAAACCAAAAACCAAAACCGTTTTTCTGACCCCCCCCTCAAAATCCTCCCAACCTCCACCACAAAACCAAATTCGAAATTCTCTCATCGATTCGACTGCCGAAAATTTCCAAACCAAAATCCAAAATTCCAATACCCCAAAAACTCCAAAAATGTATTTTCATCTTGCTTACTTTCATTTGATTTGAAATGACCAAAATTTGACAATTCTCTTGGCGATCCATATATATACAAACACAATTTCAATTATTTATATAATGCAAAAAAAAAAATATCAAAACGATTCGAACCAAAACTCAAAAACCAAAACGAAAATGAACGAAACGTAAACTCGAAATCCAAAATCAAATCAACAACCGACCAACAACGAATGATGGATTATGATGGATAATGGAACCGAATCTGGAATCGCTATATGAATCCACCCACACACACACACACACACACACACGCATACAAACACTCAACCCACACACACACACACACACACACTTAAACCCTCACAAATGCCACGCTCATGCATGAAATGATGACGATGACGACGATGATGATGATGCCATGTGTGGATTGTGTTGATGATGGTGATGATGGCCATATAATAGGGGGCTGGTCGTGGGCATGGAACCACAGTGCAGCGTGGCAAAGCCGTTGGCCGGCGTGGCAGCATCAGTCGTCAGGGGGCCCAAACAGTGCCACAGGCGGCGGGACAGGCAGCGGCGGCGGCGGCGGTGGGACAGGCGGCGGCGGTAGCTCAGCGGGGGGCCACCGGTCAGGGGGCGCCGGCAGCAACCGGGGGGGTCCGTGGGGTGGCACAAACGCGTCACAACGCTCGTGGCACCCAGCACGTCAAGCCGCTACAAAATTTACCAGGTGAGCTCAACAAACAAACAAACCAAAAACCAAAACCAAAAAATAAGTACAACAACAATCAAAAATACTACAGAGATAAAAAAACACAACCACAATCAACCAACCAACAAAAAACCAATCGAAACTATCAAAACGAATGAACTCAAAGCTAAATCTCCCAACAACCTACGTCAAAAGAAAACTGCAAAGACAATCCAACTACAGCAACAACCCAGCAAGAAGTAAATTTCAAATGTCAAATTCATATAAATTAATAAGTAAAGCCAAGTAAAATGTAAAGAAACCCCACACCCACACACCCACCTGCCCACAACCCACACCACACCACACCACACACACACACCACACACACACACACACATACACTCTCTCTCGCTGATCCATAAGGCGCACAAGAACCAAAACGAAACGAAACGAAACCCATCGAGAGATACGACCCATCCAGAAAACCGAACTCCTCCCCGACAACCAGCAAAAGAAGGCCTCCCCCCCCTCAATGTCGTGTGTCTCTACCCCCAACCCCAAACCCCAACAACCCCAACCCCCCTACTTTTACCTCGATGTTGTGTTGTGTTCTCTTTTTTCTATATTTCTATAATCACGAATTATACAGTTTTCTTTCGTTGTTTCTTGTGTTTCACTGTAGTTGTGCTTTTGCTGCTTACGAATTTTCTTGGTGTGCTTTCCATATATACATACATATATATTTCCATATAATTATGGGGTTTTCATTTCTTTTGTGTCGGCGCTGAAATGTATGCTACGATTTTTTGATGCATGCCCTCTCGTGACTGCTGTCTCTTTTTTCTTTACTTTCTTCGAACTGTAAGCAGCAATAAACACACACACACATTTACACACACACAAACGCAACACCTATGTACCATAATAACAAATTATATGATTGTTTTAATTGCATATTGATACGGATATGTGGCTAACAATGAGCAGTGTCTGCTGTGTAAACGTTTATGAATCGATTAGTATATCTCACACACACACACACACATACAGAAACACACACACACAGACAGACACCAATATCCATTCGCACAAGATTGTTGTCACTTTACTAACTAAAAAAAAAAAGGTCCAGCAAGTACATGGAAGAGTGTCCCCGTTTTTGTCTCTAATCGCCCCCTCCCCATCCTTCATAGCAGACATAGAAGAGAGTAAGAGCCCCATAGCCCTAAGAGAAATCATCCAAAATTTTGACGTACGTGTATATAATTTTTGTTGTTTTTTTTTGTGTCCCGCGTTAATCTGTTGGTAAAAAAAAAAAAAAAAATATGTTGATTGCCAGGCCATAAATAATATACTTATACACACGAAACGCGCGTCAAGATTGACTTACAGATCGATTGCGATTGCACAAATCTTATATAAATAAATATATAATTTTTACTCTAGCCCATTAAATTAACCATATACATATATACATATATATTATTTGTATGTGCATTTCTGTATATCGAGAGTCGAGAGTCTTGTTAATTAATTTACCCATCATGCTTTGCTAACCCGAGCCACACAAAGCCAAAGGAAGTGAATAAAAATCAAATAATAATAGTATTAGTAACCTACATAAGCCCATAAATACAATACATATCCTATGTGTAATATAATCGACCCCCCTATAATCCAAGCCCAAAACATATTCCCCCACAGGAGGGGGATCAACTGGAATAGTTTTGTTTGATTTGTACCATACCTTTACATACAGATACTAATCGATTCGTGTATTATGTTCACACACACACACACACACACACACAGACTCCAAACCTTCTTATAATTTGTTATCAATGGAGCAACGAACCCCCAACCCACCGGATTCCTGGCACGCTTTTGTATCTGCATCCGCAGCAAAAGCGTGACTCTCCCCCCCACACACACACACACACACACATTCACCTGCTTCGTACACTTTGTGGCTGTATTTGTAGATACAGATCGTTTGAATTATATTTAGAATGCTTCACACAACCACACACCTACATGCGCTTTGTTTCTGACACACACAAACACACATCGTAAAGAACAAAAAAAAAAAAAAAAAAAACTAAATCTGTTTCTAGCTGGAGCCACTCGCAAGACGTACACGGAGGGCAACTAAGCGTGGCGCCTCGGCCAGCTCCTCGGCCAGCGGCGAGAGTCGCCCGCTTGTCAAGAAGCCCAAGAAACGAGATAGCTCACACAGTAGGAAAAGCAAGCATTCACACAAGCATTCCAAAAAGCGTAGCTCCAAACACAAGAAATCTCGGTCCGAAAAGAAATCAAGAATCTGGTCCCCCTAAATACAAGTATTCAAGTCTCATTGCCAAGTAATGTTTCAAGTGCTATGCAGCCAACCCGAACACACACAAAACAAACCCCAAGAACACACTCTTCTCACACTTGACACTAGGCATTAGTAAACAAAATCTACGTATTCTTTGTAATCATTCAATTGAAAACGATACTACCAGATGAGTAAACGTCGGTTGTGGGGCATCGTTTTCAATAATCAAGAAACCCCGTGACCAAACACACCAGTCAAACAGCTTCAGTTCAGATCAGTTCAGCTCAGCTCAAGAAAACCCAACCCAAGACTCAAAAAAAGGAGCGGCGACATTGCAAAATTCCAAATTTCCCCAACAATGGACAAGTGAAGAAGAATCTTAGCTTCAATCAAGCACACAGACAACCCAGACACAGCGCTCTATACAGGAATCGATCGAACGAAAACGAACAGTCGATTCCTTGTCACTAACGTTTTGTAATTAATGTTTAATGTTTTTCCGGCGATAATATCGTGTGCTATGTTTTACACACTGAAAAAACAAATTCGGAATAATTGTAATTCACACAAGCACACACACACACACCAATGCAAACACACCCACACACACACACATGATAACACCCCTAATATCCCACATCTAATTCATTTTGTGTAAGACCAGACCCACGTTATACGTATACGTTCTGTAAATGTATCATATACCATACCCCAAAAAGGTCCCTAACGTTATGTCGAATTAACACCAATTCATGATTTTTGATGTGTAAAGAAACAACCCCCCCTATAATGCAAATGGGAAATATTAAATGAGCAATGATAAAAAAAAACCCACCTGTTTGTCTTTAACATTTTATTGAACCACCACAAAGCCCCTTTGCAAAAAACAGACTGAAAAAAAAATGCAACAAATTGTGCGAAAAAAAAGAAAAAAAAATGAAATACATCAAGAAAACCTCATTTAAACCATAGCCCAGCTAAAACTTGAACTTTATCAACAACAAAATCAAAAAAAAAAAAGAAGAAAATAATAGAAACCACCTTGAACCATTTTTGTATTAACAATATTTTTAACTCTCTTTCTCTTTTTTTTCTTTCGAAAAACACCTTCAACCACACACACACACACACACAAAACACACAACCAACAACAACAACAAAATGCTGTCCTCGAACCTATGAACCTACCCACTGCAGTAGTCGGTAAACGTAAGTTCGATGGAGGTCACCAAAATCCGGCAGATGTTAAGCGACGTTACCCGAGCGGTTTAATAGGAAATGGCGGCAGTTGGGGCAGTTTACCGCTACCACAGCAACCTTTAGGCACAAATGGTGAACAGTGGTACATGGATACGTTTTCGGCATGGAGTTAGAACAATACAACAACAACAACAACAACAGCAACAACAACAACAACAACAGCAACCCTATATATGATATCAGTTATAAAGCAGCCACACAACATGGAAGTTACAGCCCCAGCAACATCCAATAATAATAATAATAATAATAATAATTTCACTCGTCGATGTCCTGGAGAAGATCTAGATCCAAGTAACAAAACTCTTAAAAGCAATAAATTCCCTTTAAAAGAATTGTATAAACCATAAGAACCTACAGCTAGCGAAAATTCTGAGAGATCCTTAACTTGCTTTAGATATAAACGCATTCATTTCGGAACCAAACCGATTTCCGTTCTGTTCATTTGATTCATTCGAAATAGCTTTAACAACAAACAAACAACAAGTATCAGAGTCGGAATCGGTATCGGTATCGGTATCGGAAGCAGCAACAAATCAGTCAAGTAGAGTATATATGTATCTGTATGTATGTATGTATGCCAACACTTATATAGCCTTGTGCAGCAGCAGAATTTTAAAAGAAAAATTTCTTCATTTAACCGATTTCCTCCCCCCCCAAGAACCATTTTAAAAATCAGTAAAGATCAAACCCGTATAAACTCGTAGATAAACAAAATCGAAGTCGAAGTCGAATCGTTTTAAAAGTTCACAGAAAAAGTATAACGAAAACAAATTAAGTCTCATAGCGTTTTTAACTTGAAATCGAAACAATAATTGAGCGCATATAGCAAAAAACAAAAAACAAAACAAAACAAAAACCGAAAAACGATATATAAATTTAAAAATATATATATTTATCTATAACTATATAGAGAGAGCAGTCTAAGCCCAGTACGGATTGATTTTAAATCTTAAGCAGCATGTAGCACCTTTTTATACATTGAAATTGAATTGAATTGCGTAAAAAAACCAAACCAAACAAAACAAAAAACAAATTCGAAATCGATTCGACTATATACAGAAAGAGAAGAGAGGAGAGGAGAGGAGAGGAGAGGAGCCTTAAGCAAAATTAACACACAAGCAAATAGTGCACAAGCGAATTCCCTTTACTGTATATAACCACACAGCAATAAGGAGCCAGCAAGACATATGGGAAACCAGTACATATATACGAGAGAGATCAGATTCAGATTCAGGTTCAGATGAATATTGATGTGTACTAAATTAAAATACAAAAAAAATGTTTAATATTGTAGGGACTTCGAGAGACAACAACAAGAATTCAAAGTGAAAAGCAAAGCTTAATGAAGAAACATTGACTGACAAAAAAACAAAAACAAAACAAAAAGTAAGAAAACAAAAAAATTATAAATTAGATTGATTGAATTGATATGAGAATGATAAGAAAATACATACAAAAAAAAAAAAACAAAAAAGAAAAAGAAAATGTAAATGCACCCAGCATTATTATATAATGACTGGCAGTGGCAACTGGCAAAGACTTTCTGCATTAATTGGAAAACAAACAAAAAACACAAACTATTTTTTAACGAACCCTAAGTCTTAGGCAACTTCAAATCAATTAACTGGCAGAAGAAAAAGTATATATGTAGGGTTAAAAAATTGCACATAAACACACACACATACACACACAAAAATGTGCAGATGGTTCCGGCAAAAGCAAATCCCGGAGAATATATCTGCCAATTGAAGCAACGAATTAGAAAGACAACAACACACACACACACACATCACAAGCAGTAAAATTAAAAGTAAAAGTAAAATTAAAACTAATAATAATAACGATGAATATTATGAATTTTAATAACAAAATAACGAATACTTAATATTTACACATATAAACATACAAATTGTGCTTAACTTTCAAAGAAAAAAAACAAATAAGAACAAATTATGAAAGAAAGAAATCAATTAGCCGACGCTCGATTGCGTTTTAGCAGCAAACCTAAACAATTCATAAAATTCTAGAAATTCTCCTTAAAAGCCTCTCAACTAATTAACAATTCTGACTCAAAACTCTCTCCCAATTTTATTGACGAACTCATCTAAGCAGAACTGCTACGCACATATGATATTATATGATATGATATGATATGATACGAATGAAAGTAACGCCCCACACCTACATACATATATAGCGAACCTAACTGTAACTCCATGCCATGCCTACAAACAGCACACACACACACACGCGTGTCAAGAAAAAACAAAAACTCTTATATAGGAAAATCAATTATCAAGCAAAAACTTGCCTTTCATTTATTTAGATTACTTTGCGAAATTCACAACCAAAAATCCCTTTATTTTTTGTTGAAATTTATCTGTCGTTTATGTCTGCGTTTCCGCTATTGCTAGATCTCAAGTAAAGCAACAAGTTAATTAATATATATATATATATATTATATAAAAAAGAAAAGAAAACAAAAAGAATATATAAATTAGTTTTAAACTAACAAAAGAATACTTCCAATTTTGAACTCAAGTATAAAGCGAATACAAAACTGTTGGCCGTTGATGAAGGACAAGGGCGCGTGTGTTTTAAAACGTATCTATGAACATTGTTCAGCATAAGCCTAAAAAACACCAGTTTTTTAAATTACCAGTACACACAGACAAACAAACAAACACACACACACAGACACCAAGCAGTTGCCTACAGTTAAAAAAAAAAATATAAAAATAAAAATAAAAACGATGAGAACTTGCGAAAAAAATTTGCAAACCAGCAAAGAACTTTAAATACAATACATAATATTAGCCACAAACAATAAGAGGAACATATACAACAAATTCTAAATGACCATAGTTAAGATTACATTTAGTAACACTCACACTCACACAAACAACACCAATACATATACACACACACACACATAATGTTTAAAGTAAACTGTCTTTGTAGGAGAAGGAAGAGAAGTGTGCGCCATTTTCTATCTACAATAACAAGCAAAACAAAAAAAATCACTTAAATATTTAACCATCTTTTTAAAATAATTTTTGATAAGTTTCCTTAGGAGTTCTTCTTAAAGGATCTACCTTTTCCCGATCGAGAGCAGAGTGTTGCCCTCGAAAAAGAAAGGGGAGAAATCATTTAAAACTTTTATTACGTTTTTTTTTCTCTCTCTTTAAACACACACAAACACAACAAATGAGTTACTTTTTTAAGGATGTTATTAACGAAAAAAAAAAAAGAAAAATTCTTCAACGCCGCGTATTTTTATCATGCAAAATTTTCGATTTTTCGCCTGTGAAATTTTCCACATATTTGGTGACTTTGAACCTTTGAACCCACTTCAAATTGCAAATATATACATATAACTAATTTTAACGATTTGTTTAATTCGATAACTGTACTGATTTTATATTGTTTTAAATTTGTAATTTAATTTGTAAGTTTTTATTGTTAATGTGTTTTTCTATTGTAAACTAAAAACTAAACTAAAACTGTAAACCAATTGGCAAATTGTTACACACTCCGTTAAAGTTTTCCGATTTCGTTGAACTTGATGAAAATTATGATTAATGAAATTATCACCAAAATTATGTGCCGTTATTTGGAAACCATCTCTTTGGAAGCCTGAAATTTTCCCCATATCCTTCCTGAAACCCATCCCCCCCTCCTCGGTCCCCGCTCCCCTCTCCCACCACCCAAAAAATCCCCTAATTGTGTTAAATATTGTAATTTGTAATTTTTGTTTTAATTTTTTTCGGGAAAGCAAAAACGTTTGGCAAAATTAGTTTTTAATTTGAATATTTAGTTTTGTTTGTGCGCTTAAGTTTTCAATAGTATGTTATATATATATATTAAACTATATGAATATTAATTTTTAGCAAAATATTTTTACGACCTAACGCATAAAGCCCTAATGTTAAATACTTAACGTACTAATTTGTTTAGCTTTTTAATTGGTTTTACATTTTTGTGTATTTGTGAAGAGGACGCGCAAGCAAAATTAATCTTTGACCCCATAACAACAGCAAACAGCAAACAGCAACAGCCATAACTGTAACCGTGTGTAAATTGAAACTTTCAACAAGTAATACAAGTAATTACAACTACAAACAAAAAAACATACAAAAAATAAAAATTTAAAAGAGGAAATCCAAATAAAAAAAATAAGAGAAAGCAAGGTGGACAACAAAATTGCAAAACTGCGCATGGAAACTGAGCGAAAAAAATGAAAAACTTTACATGAATTGTGATGATGCAAAGGCAAGATTTAATCATAATTACTAAATCTATATATACATGCATATATATATATATTAAATATATATACAGTAAATATATATATATCTTTCTCTATAAATATATATATATATATGAGTATATAATGTATATGTAGGCGTAGGAGTGTATAATCTAACTTAACTTTTAAACAGACTGCGTACGTATTAAAAATTTTTAAAATTAATTTGTGTAAAATGTTTTAAGTTTTGAAAAATTGGCAAATAAAGAAAACAATAAAAATTAATAAATCAAAACACGACGATCGCATTGTAAATTGAAATATACACAAAGACTCGACCTATTCCAAATTTACCTATTCCACACCTTTTCAGCAATCAAAATCAATCCGATCATGTATATTTCAAGAATTGGCCTAAGAGCAAGCGCAACTGTTTATAAGGAAAGAGCCAGCCAGACAGGGGGCAAGTGACAGGATGCCAGGATCTGCAACAATCAGGTCTGGGCAGTTTCCAAAGTTTTTTTTTCGTTTTTCGTATACTCGTAAGGACACGATTTGTATGAGGACAATATCTGTTTCGGACATACTCGTACACACAATTTAGGTTTAGCTTTTGCCACATTTTTACCACATTTTGTATCGACTTTTTTTAAACAATTTTTTGTTGTACTCTACATTTATAGTTTGTGTGTGTTTTCTATGCTTTTAAATTACATATATATCGAATCTATCGCATCATTTTATAACTGATTGATTTAACGACTAATTGATAAACATCACAGCAGATTTGCATACGATTGAGTACATGCCACACGTACATATGAGAGGGATTCATAAACCGTGAACGTAACGTCGCCAATTATTACGATATAAAATCAAGAGATGAAGAATTAAATAATAATAAAAACAAAACTCAATAAGCAATCAGAATTCATTGTAGGAGCAGGCAGAAAGAGAAAGAGAAAGCGAGGTAGGAGAAACAGAACAGAAGCAAAACTTTTACGTCTTAATAAACAATTATTGTTAACGAAGAAATTAAAAGTGAGAGAAGCATATTGTACTAAAATATTTGATATACATACATTTGTTATTATTTGTAATATGAAAATTAAATAAAATTGCATCCAGATAATAAAAAATGAAATAAATAAAGAATGCAAAGATCGTCTAATGCTCAATATCCACCCTTCCCCCCATGAAAAACTTTCACACTTTGATATCAAAAATAAATTACGCTTTATTTTTGGAAACTTAAAGCTTAACAATATTTAGAAACATTTACTGCGCGACGAGGACTTGCTGCGAGTTCCACTGGTGCTCGGTCTGGTGCCGGAGCTAATGTTGCTGATGCCAATGTCCGCTCCTATTACTGTCTCGTCCACACTGGTATCGTCTGCGGGCAGCTCTTCGTCGCTGTTCTCCTCGCTGACGAAGGAGCCCACTGGCGTGATGATAGAGTCCCCATGCAGGTCTCTGTTGATCATATTGCCCATGTGGAAGGCGGAGTGACAGTTGTTGGCCGCCAGGAGAGCCTTGACTCGAAATACCAGCGTCTCTATGGTTTCGCGAAGACTGGGAATGTAGCTTATGATGGCGGTATTTTTGATGGACTTCGAATGACAGCATAGCTGGTGCAGGAACCTGGTCACCTTCTGCAGCTCGTGGAGAAACTTGGTCAGCCTCTCTGGATCCTCACGCACTATCGTCTCCAGCACGGACACGCCACGTTGCAGCAGAAGCTTCAGAAATAGCTGTGAATGTTTGAGGAATAGCCCGAAATTACGGGGCTGCTCCACAAGCTGCACTATATTGAGCAATCCATTCAGCAAGTCCACCGTTGACTCCCACAGCCTCAGGCGATCTCCTTCCTTGTTCCCGCTCAGTTCAGCATTCAGCGAGTGAATTAGCACCTCACACAATCCACGAAACAGCAACGGAAAGTTGGCTCTGAAAGATATCCTGTATCAATAATCGTTCGAATATTAACCTATAGGCAATGCTTACTTCTTGAAGTTGGGAAAGGAAATCAGTGCCTTGTCCTTTGTGTTTAGTATCTTGCACTCCTTGATTAGCTCATTCAGAAGTTCGTTCTGCCGCGCAAAGGTAGAGTCCTTGAGGAAACCCTTAACCAGCTCATCTAGATATATATTACACTGGGCTCCTTTGTCCAGGTTGCTTGAGAAGTGGAACCACTTACGGCGCAGCAACTTGTCGCAGAGTACGCCTGAAAAACATCAAATCAGAATCATATTTTCCCTGAATACGACACTCCTACGTACGTGTATCTTCGGCTAGCCGGGACCTCGACTGACTGGCATCGTCCCCAGTGGCTCCCAGTTTCCGCAGACTGCACAGCAGTCGGTGCAGTTGAACAGCCGTACTCAGGTTTAGTACCGATTTCTCGTACTTCAAAAAGTAGTCGAAATTCAAGGTGGCCAGTTGGGGAATAGTTTGCTTTTTATATTTCCGGGCCTCCTGACTCGGAAGATGTGATGTGTGAAATATGTACAGGGATTCTGGCAGTAACGAAAAAGAGATGAGTATTCATAAGATAATGATATAGTAGCCAACAAACCGTGCAGCTCTTTGGCGTGCGTCTCATCGCTCCATCCGCTCCAGGAGAAGTACAAGGCAAAGTATTGAATGCATAGGCCAAAGCAGGTCTTGATGTAGTTGAATCGTTCCTTGAACAGATCCAAATTGCTATACACATTGTTGACTTTAGCCAACTCCTCATCTATAGCTTTGGCTAGGACGTTTAGGTGATTGTTTAAATCAACCATCGATTTACATATATCATGTATAAAGCTCTCTGGACTGACACGATGCGGATGGAGAAAAACTGAATCAAGCGAGTCCTGCTGGTCATGGACTGTGGCCTTTAGTTTCTGGACCACATCTTCGAGCAGGAAACGTAGCTCCAGCAGCCCTAAGGCGTTTCCTTTTTCCTTATCCTCCAGCGGATAGTTCAAGGATAGCTCTTGCTTCTCCAGCAACACCAAAATGCGAACATCCATGGGTCTGTACTTCTCCCGTGGTCCGTACAGTTGCTCAAAGTCTATTTTGGTTTTGTTGGTCTTGCAGGGAGCCACCTTGATGGTAAAGTCCGCCAGTGTGGTGTGATTACAGGTGTCGTCCTCCTCCATTGGGGTCTCATGGGCCTTGGCTCCGGGGGGTTTGCCGCCCTGCCGTTTCTGGAGAGTGACTTTCTGCTTTGAATAGTCGAGGAACTGATATGGAGGAGCTACAAAGTCAGCAGGCGCATGGGTCAAGAGCGACTTGACCCTCTGCTGTATGCGTATTAATTCGCCCAGACGTAGCAGCACTCGTTCGCGAGTGCCACGATGTATCTGAGTGGCGAAAGCACTGATTGTGACTCTTATCCAGTTGATAGTATGGAAATAGATGCTGAGTATATGTTTCTGCTGCTCCCCGTCATAGTTGTCGAAGATGGCCATGTAGTTGTCGTCCTCGAAAAACGAGGGCAGTACAATTGCGCAACCAAGCAAGGCATTGATCATCTCCAGGCTGCCACGGTAGCTATTCTGGTGTAGCATTCGCACAAGGTAAAACAGCGGCGTCATCACATATATCGACTCAGTGGCACTGTAAATTCGGTAAATTAGCAAAGTGCAAACAAAGGATACACTCGGTTTCGGAACTCACTCGTTTTTGGGCGACAAGACAAGCTCGGATATATTTATGCCAATGCTGAGAACCTCCGATTCCGTGTTAACATTCGATTCGTCCAGCTCGTTGATATTCTTTTGATATTCCAACTGGATACCCCTTTGAAATGTTTGGAGTTAGTTGGGAGTACGGTTTCCATCGAAGGTACTCACTTGATCGGCTTTGGAGTGTTCTCGGTAGCGAAGCTCTGCTGAAAGCGAAAGGTCATCAGCTCACAGAGCCACATGGTGAAACCTCTATCGTTCCAGTATGAAGATATGGGACATCTCTGAGAAATAACCGTGGCCAACTCTTCGTAGAACAGCGCCAGGGACTCAGCACTGTTCATGATGGATGATTCGGTGAGAGCTGTGTGGTGCAAAAAAACCGTTTCGTGTGTGTTTGAGAAGCTCCATTATTTACTCACTTATCAAATTGGCTGCCACTTTGGGGCGACCGTCGGGCAGACCGTCTATGGAATCCACAACGGGGGAGAAGTTCCCATCCTCGTCCTCGTCGTCCAAACTCTTCTTCTCAGTGCATGAAATGGCATTTATTAGCTGCACGCTGCCAATGATGCCTTGCTTCTTCACATATTCGGTTCGATTTATCAGCTGCTTTTTCACCACCATTTCGACTTGCTCCTGCAGCGGCCCTGACTCGGGTAGTTTTGGCTCGGGAAAAGCCAAATTGCACAGGATTTCCATGGCCAGGCGAGTCTGCGGCAGTGTTAGGTCACTCAATCGATCTAGCATTGGCAGGAAGAGAGGCGCACAGTTCTGCACATCCTTGAAGCTCTTGCGCAGCAGCTCGCGCAGCAAATGCAATGCCATTGTGGTTAGATGCTGGGACGACTTGTCACAGGCCAGCTCCAGCAGCTTCCTCAGAATATTCTTCTGAATTGAGGTAAAAATCTTAAAGAGCACGCTGCGGTAAATGAAACATTAGCTCAAGCAACCGAGTGCACAAACTATCTATACCTGTACGAGGATTTTGCAAACTCTGAGACAGCTACGTTCTTCTCGCACATAAAGTCGTGCAGTATGTGCATCAGCGTGCTAATATGTTGCTCCAAAATATGCGGATAGTGCAGCTTAACGCCCTCTAGAATGTTTACTGAGATTTGGTTCAGCTTTATGCGACGGCGAAGCTGTCAATAAAGATGGGTCGCAAGTTTAAAATGAATATAGAGAGGAGTATAGTCCACTCTACTTACAATATTCTCAATGTACAAGGAGTTATCTTCATTCACATGAATCAGCAACAAAAGCATTATTAGGTCCAGGGCACTGCAAAGACGTACAGCTGTAGAATCAAGTATTCATTCATTTGTTTGCACTGAACTAACGTGAATCCGTCTGCGGGCAAACTCGCTATTAGTCTCTGCCACATTTGATAGAATCGCTTGGAGCGTATTAGGCCTAGTTCCAGAAAGCCAAAAAGGTCCAATTGCGACTTCTTATCGTTGGCTGCCGCCGGTGCGCTACTTTCATTAAGAGCTCTGTGACGCCAGTTAAATATTTCGCGCAGTGTGGAAACCAGCTGTTAAATATAAATTTCGATTCAGTTCGGTCCTAGAAGGATTGGATGAATAGATCTTACTTCCCGCACACTATCATCTGTGTCCAGTTTGAGACTGTTCAGCAAAAGCCGTATAAGGTGCGGCAATGTCTACAGAAACAGACAGTTAGAAATAAAAGCAGAATATAGTTTTGGATCTTGTGTACCGTGTCTGGACAGGCGCCACTTGTTGTGAACTCTAGAATGCGCAGGCGCAGCTTGTCTTGGGTCTTGGCTGAGAGCGAAAGGTTGCTCAATGTGTGCACTGTGATCATATGGAAGAGCTCTTCGCTGCAGGAATAGTTGATACTGGCAAAAGAAGAGAGTGAGTTTGCCGTAAACGATTGTCTTTGTGTCAGCTTACAAGAGCAGCTCGACAAATGCATCGTGCATGCTGGCATCGAGCACAAACTCGGCATTGCTGATTATATCCAATTTAGACGAGTCGGTGGCTCTGTTGAAGATACCCTCGATGCGCTGATAGATCTGCTCCTTGTGGGCAAGAGACAGATAGCGCATCTGGGCCAGCATCAGAGGCAGCAATGGCATTGCAATAGCACCCTGGCCCGTGATAACATGATCCGATGTGGCCACCTCTTCCATTCGGTTCAGGAGCACCTCCAGGCAGGGATCCCGCATAAAATCGATCATCAGAAAGTTCATGAACATGCTGTTCTGCGACTGATATATCTGCTCCTCTCCAGCTGCATCCACAGTGCAGCCTGTCAGAAGTTTCTGCGACAACTTGGACTTGGGCGCCATGGCAGTGTTGAGACCCGACTTGAAGGTCTCCACCTTGTCGGCATAGGACGGGGCACTCATGAATATTTCCCGCAACTTTGAAACTATCGAGACATGGTCACAGGACAGCACAAGGGTGTCCCCCTGATCCAATTGCACCCCGGCTCGTATCAGGACAAGCTCGAAAAAGTTGTTTGGCTGCCGCGACAGACTCAACGGGTTCCGGCTGGAGGACTGTGTGCGTCCCAGAGTTGCGGCCAGGATGGCACTGTGCTGTGATAGAAAGCGTTGCGTATGCTCCTGAGAGGCCGGTATGTTCTCCTCGCTGCCACTGCCAAAAGACGTCACAGAAACATCCGTTCTGTCGCCGGTTTCGTTGTCCGCCGGACGCTGCAAAAATCACATTTGTATTCACGAACGATGCAACAGTTTCAATGGCTCTTACTGGTATCTTGATTGACCTATTTTCATCGATTGTATTCAGTGGCTTCTGGCCACGTTTCTTGTATTTGCGGTACATAATTAACAACAAATCTCAAAAATGTTGGGCAAAATAAACAACAAGCGAAAATATAAATCGTAAAAGGCGCAATTCCCGCGGTGTTAAACAGTACTGCCCACCAGGGATGCCAACATTTTTCATTTAGCAAAATAAAGCTAGATTTATTCCAAAATATTAAATGCTAGAAATCATGCTAACCTCTGAAAAAGAGTAAAAGTAAATTAATGATACTTTTTACTTTTACACACGGTATTTTAAGATCAAAAAATGTTGTGTGCACACATTTTTCCACGCTGAAACAAATAATGTAGAAGAATTTCCATTTTTTCGCTTCCGCCATTTGACTCTGTAAAAGGCTAGATCTGACTGAAAAGAAGCTGATTTGGAAACACTGGTACGCGCACACAATCGAAGACGCTTACCAACACTGAACAGCCGTTGGCGCACTGGTGTAAATTCAAATATTTATTCAAAACATTCACTACATGATATATAAAACTAATTATTGTTTTTAGATGTATATATTTTGGTATTCATATGTGATAAGTAAGTATAAAATGTTGTAACCATGTGTTCGCTTAATCGTAGGAGCCGGAAGCATGTTCCAAAAATTGCTAATCGTTTCTAGAAGCACATTAGTGCCCGCCTAATGGAAAAATCCAACGTAATATTATAATTACTTGTTCATAAAGTTATTTATAATGTTAAAGCCTTCCATTTGAATTTTTAAACTGGGGTGCTGTCTTTTGATAATTTTGAATATAATTCCTAGATGCATTCTCAACGTTTTTAAGTGCAAAAAAAATCTATTGTGTCATATAGATTTATAAAAAGGAAGTACAACATGAGTTTAAGTGATTATGTCAGAAATTGACTTATGCCGAGATTATCGTATACCGTATATCTCTTTCGTACCTAATTCATAGAAAATCACTAATTTGGCGTTGCTTTCAGTATTGCTATTCAATTTAATCTCTACTTGATGCCCTTTCTATCACACCAATGCAGTCCATATCGGATAATATGCGATTCTCCTCAATACTGTTCCTCGAGGAAACCCAAACCAATCGGTTTCCTACGTATTCAATAAAGTCCATGTTAAACATTAAATTATTGCTTTTTCGTTCGCCTCCGCTTGTAACCCGTCATTTGCTTTAGCAACTGCGAGTTCTCATCATCCAGATCCATATTGGGCTCCCATAGGCGCAGTCGTCTGGGTATGTAAATCAGTCCCAAGAGTGTAATAGCTGGCCAAAAAGAATATCATTAGTAAACCTGAACGAAAGTTGAATTATATTAATTAATGCATACAATTCAGTACGCATGGGAAGATCACGTAAAAGTTGAGGGTGCTCGAGCGAAAGTAGAGGGCCTCAGTGGCATAGAAGACCATGGTAAGGGCCAAAGAGCAGCCGCCCATGCTTACAACACTATTATACAAAAATAGAACATGATTACTTCCCCCTCCCGTAACACCACAGCTCCACTTGTGATACTTACGGTCTGTAGTGGATGTAGAGGGTGCAGTGGACTAGTGCGATTGCCTTCAGCAGGCAGTACATGCCAATGATACGGGATATGGTGTAGTCCCCTGGAAATTGAGCCACACACAGAACACAGATCAAACATTGCGATGCGATGTGGCGTGTGGCATGTGGCATGTACTCACCCTCGATGAACTGCGTGTCGCTATGATCGCCCAGGAAGCTCCTTCGCTCGATATAACTACGAAATGCGGTTCCCAGGTCCATGAACGCCACAAAGGCTATCCATCCTCGGAACGCATAGAGCAGGCGCTCGCGTGGTCGGCCGGACGACTGCATGGCAGCCCTAAAAATCATGAATACCCTTTTTAATACAAAACCAAACAGTAATGCTATGGCATTAGCCGGCTTATCTGCCACTAAAAATCACTTGCGGCAAACGGGTCGGCACGAGCTACGGAAGTCCTCAACCATCCACCGCATCCGACCAGCAACCGCCCCCAACCCCGCCCACCTAATGGGGCAAGCTCTTGTGGCTGGCAAAATCGATATCACACCCAGCGCGTGGCACGTTTATCATTTATGCAACGGCAAATATTTATACAGAGCGTAATTCCTCGATGCACGCGAGCACGTGGACGCCGAATTCTGGCCGGAACGGAGGAGGCACCGGTTCCTAGCCCAATCAGGTTATTTATTTTCAATCAACAAAGAGGCCGCCGGCACCGGCAGGGTCTCCCGAGCAACGCAACGCGATTACGGCCGTGGGACCGGCATTCATAATTATAGGCCATCAGCCCCGAGAGTTCTTTTGCATTTCTGTCCAAGAGTCTATATCGGTTCGCTATCTGTGCTGCTTATTTCTGTGACTATTTTTGCTTACATTTTGCACGGGTCTCCAAATTACCACACTCGAAACACTGGGCTCCGTCACTCACGACGAATGCGTAATACTGAAATACACTAGTCTTTAATTTCTGTTTTGATAAGTCCTATAAATGTTGCCGCATTTGTTCGTTTATTGTTTTCATTCAGCCTATTTCATCCACCTTTTTCGTCGACTGTCGGCTGCAACGCCTCACCGTCTATTGAAAGTTTTAGTTCTGTAAGCGCAAGAGTCGGAAAGTTCCATTCGTTGCGTTGCACAGTGGGCAAACGTATAAATGTATAGGTTTTTGTTTTTTAATATTTAATACATTTTTTGAAACATTTTTTGTTTAATTAAAAATATATATATATATTTTACTACAGAAACCCAAAAAAAACTGTAAGATTAATACATTTTTTGTCGCTTTTAATTGAGGATAAAAAAGAGTGGGAAAATTTCACACTTAAAGCGATCGAAAATCGATCAATAATATCGATAGCCTAAGGAGTGTATTGGTAATCGATTCCATCAAAATAAAGTAAAGCTTTTTGTATTTCAAATTTTACTTTAGTTCCGCCAGATCGGCCGTTTCGCCCACTGTGCGTTGCCGGAAAGCTTCAGCTGCTGTAAACTTTTTCCGGCTCGTTTCGTGGTTGATACTTGTCGTACATACATTGGTGTTTCTTGTAATACCATCGATAAGTAAATCTTCAACCGATATTCATATCTTACAATGAATCTGAGCTTTTACCAATCGGCGGCCGTTACTTGATGGGTATATTCAAACACGATTTATTTAGCAAAAGTACAAAAGGTTTTAACAATTTGGAAGGGTGGGTACGTAGTGACGCGGTGATTGTCAAGTTCTATGGCTCTCTAGGGATAATGACTAGTTCTAATCCTTGCCAATGTTACCCTCAGTCTGTCGGTACTCGGCCCAGTCCACAAAGCCATCATTGTCCAGGTCCATGGACTTGAGAACATAGTCAATGGTATCTTCCAGGGCCTTGTCCGTGTACACGCTGCCGGTTTTGTGCTCATCGGGAGTCTCGGTTCCCTCCACCGGCGGTTTCTTGCTACTATCTTCGACTGCAATGATAGAATGGTATGTTAAATATAGACTTAAACGTGATAGGGCAAGCGCTCACCGAAAACCGCTAACAAATTTGTCTAGATAAGCTACTGGAGGCAAGGGTTTAGATGCGGTGGGTGGGTTTGTGATTTGTATTTGACTTTATTTGCTAGATCTGGTTTTACTTACAAAGAATTGCATGCGTCTCTATATAATAGGTCTCAAATTCAAAAAAAGAGTTTTCGTTTTAGTTATAGTTTTACTTCGATTTTTTTGCGTGTTTTTCTCTCTTTTTGTACAAAACAAACGTTCACACAATCAGTCTGTTTTTTGTTGCTGCTCTCAAGATGCGCTTAAAAATTAGTTCATATCGAAATTAACTAAGATTATGACGAGGGAAAACAAAATAAAACAAAAGCAGCTAAAATTGCACAAACCACTTTAGAGATTCGTGTGGACAACTATTCAAAAATAGGGAATTTGTGAAAATTTCTTGGAAGGATTTAATGAGTTACAATTTGTTCAATGAAGTTTTCCGATTGGAATGGAATGCTTGCAGCATGGTTTAAGTAGAAATTCTTTGAAGAACGATCTCAAAATTCTGCGCTAAAAACCGTTGACAACGTCGACGTAATTTCATGATGTTTTGGGCGAGAAAACAGGAGTATGTGTTGCACGTCACAGGACTTAAGACGATGACATAGTCAAGCTTGATTGGTGTATGGAAACTGAATAGATCAAACTAGCTATCTACTAATGAACCGGCTGCTGCTGCTGTTGTTGCTGCTGCTGTTGCTGTTGCTGCTGTTGTTGCTGCTGCTGCTGCTTCTCGGAGGCCTTCTGCTGAGCCTTGATGAACTCCGGATAGTCTATGTAACCGTCACGCGATGTATCGTCCATTTGCAGGATGGGATCAATGAGGGCCACCAGCTCCTCATCGGAGAAGACTTTCTCTTCGACGTGCGGCTTCTCGCCGTTGGGCTGCTCCTTGCTGCCTTGCTCTGGAGTTCAATGAGTTGTTATGTCGTATGCAAGATGGATTAGGATGATGTTTGAGCATGACCACAACCAAAAACCAGAACACACCGGAAACAGCCGAATTAAGTTATTTTTTGTACGTGACGCATATGCAAAAAGAGGTAAAACAAAACACATGAGTCAAACAGAGCAAGAAATACAACCGCAGACGCAATCAAAACACAAAACCAGAATCCTCAATCGAAGAAGAAGAATCGTGCGATCTTACCGTGCCAGTGGATCAGGGACTTGATCAGCTCACAGCCATCCAGCTTGTTGTTGTTGTCCGAGTCGTGCATCTTGAAGTAGTGGAACTGAAGCTCCGCCTCAGACATTTTGCTCGTATCGATGGGAACCTGCATATGCTCCTGGATGTGACTAGAATGTACAGAATAAAAGATATGAAAGCCGAGATAAGATAGCCGTGGCCCTAGCCGACTTACGCGCGCTCCTGCTGAATGTTGCCCGTGTTCAACACCTGCTGGGGCTGGCCGTGATGATGGCCACCCGCCTGCTGCTGGTGATGCACTTGTTGCTGCTGCTGGTGCTGCTGCTGTTGGTGCTGTATGGGCTGCTGCATTTGTGGCTGCTGGTGGATGGGTTGTTGCTGCACTGGAACTTGCTGGTACTGCACAGGCTGCACGGGCTCGTATTGCTGTGGAAAGCGGATGACAGTCGGTTAGAGTCCTTGGGCCCCTGGACTTGACTCCTACTCACATACTGCTGCGGCGGCACTCCAGGAGCGCCGTGACCTTGCTGCTGGTACTGCTGCGGCGGCGGCGGCTGGTGATGTTGCGGCACCTGCTGGGGCACTTGTTGCTACATAGAGTCAGAGAATCGGTCAATTAAATATCTAGCAGCTGCTTGCACAATATCAGTAACTCACATAATGCTGGGGATTCACGCCGGGCGCCACACGCTGGGCGCTCGCCAAGCCTAACACGGCCAGCAGCAGGGCTGCTCTGAAATCTGGGAAATGCATCAGGATGGAAGCGCTAGATTCCAGCAAGGATTGGGATTAGATTCAGTCGGATTCCGTGGTTGCTAATCACCACGTCGCAAAGTCAAAACACACACGTACACAAATCACCGCTTCTTCACCTTTTACCATTCGCATCGGGCGACAGCTGTTTAACACCTATAGCCATTCACAACGGTGCATATAAAATTAGTTAAATGCAGCCGTAAATGACGTTTTTTCGATGTTTTATTGTGTTTTTATTATTGTATGTTTTTTTAACATCTGTTCAAATGTCAATCTGCGACTAGAGTTTTTTTTTTAAATAAACAAAGTAATTGCTAGGTGGTCACACTAACAACCTAATTTATCGCACACAAATACCGATATATTGTTTGAAGCAACCCTGTGATTTGATTAAACACCGCCATATCGAATATATCAAATTAAAGATATCAATATATCGGGAAAAATTCAAAAATGTTTCTTCAGTTTTTAGTTAATGGTTTCTTCAAAGACTTTAGAAAGACGCGTTGTTTTACATTTACAAGCATAAGCCTGCCTTTTTTTGAACCGACGCTGCAAAGCTGGCTGGAGTGTTAAATATTTGGATTGAATATAAAATAAATATTTATTGCATTATGATTGCATGCAAAGTGTTGCTGGGCTGGCAGGGTCCTAACGACGCGGCTGTAGCCGAACACAAGATCGAAGACTCTAGGATGTAATCCAGAAAATATATGGTAAGTGGCAACAAAAACCAGCAACAATGACACAGCATTCCATACACACTTACATATGTACGTTTCACTCCAACCTTTCATTCATGACCTTTTGGTTTCAACCTTATTTTACACACAATCCAATAAAAAGTAGTACCTAAAATTATCCAGTCATGTAGAAAAATTATCCATTAATCGGATAGAACTATGTGTTTAGGGCTAAGGGTCCTAGCTAGCTGTAAATATTAAACCGAATATCAAAATCTAGGCATATGGTTACCGATCATGGACAGAGAACGATTAACCCATTGTAGACCAATGGGTATTAAAATACACTACACGAAAATTTGGAATCGTGAAGAGGATTAGCGCAGTTCAGGTGGAAGATATCGTGGGGGCTTTTGTAAGTAAAGAGGAAGGATAGAATGGATCTTTGTGGAGAGTTTACAAACAGTACTATTTTCCGCGATTGAAGTCAATTTGCTCATCTCTTTAAATATATGGGGGTTAAGTGGGTTAAATTAGTTTTTTTTATCAGAACACAACAACCAAAAATTGCTGTCTGCGTCGATGCACATGCACCAGCAGGCGCCGCCACAGCCAGAGGAGGAACAAAGGAAGGGACAATAATAGGCACAGGCACAACTCTCGCAGGATCGCCGCGCTGCATGAACTATTTAACAATTTTGCTGTGCAATCGAAAACCGACGATGCTCTCGCGCCGGAGCAAGGAGAAATCCCAGGCACACAAAGAGGGCGTGGTGGGCAAGTATGTGAAGAAGGACACGCCGCCGGTGATACCGGTGATCAATGTGTGGACCAGCGATCAGCGGTCTAAGAAGAAGACGCTCCAGCGCTGCGCCAGCACCTCGCCCAGCTGTGAGTTTAAGCCGCGCAGCTCCAGCACCAGCCGCAACACGTACTCCTGCAACGATGCGCAGCCGGACTACTACCATGCGCGGCGCGCCCAGAGCCAGCTGCCGCTCAATCCGCACACGCACGCCAATCATCCTCCGCTGCCGCCGCTCCAGTACCGGGCCAGCAGCAACCAGCTGCAGCTCAGCCAAGGCAACAGCAGCAACTACGTGAACATCGAGCAGATCGAGCGCATGCGGCGCCAGCAGTCGTCGCCGTTGCTCCAGACCCCGACCAGCGGCTTCCAGCGCAGCTACTCCACCACCCCGAAGCACTCGCATCCACACATGGCGGCCGCTAGCTTTGACGCCGATCAGGGCCTGCTGAGTGCCTCCTATGCCAATATGTTGCAGCTACCGCGCCGTCCCCACTCTCCTGCCCACTACGCCCTCCAGCAGCAACAGCAGCAACAACAGCAGTCACAGCTACAGCTTCATCAGCAACATGCCTCAACGCCTTTCGGATCCACGCTTCGATTTGATCCGGCTGCCATGTCCATCAGGGATCGCCAGCCCCGCTATCAACCGACAAGGTAATCCCTGCCTTGCCCATACGTTATGAAAGTCATTCTTACTTCTGGCTTTTCCTTTGCACAGATCTCCACTGCAACAGCAGCAGCAGCTCCAGCATCAGCAGCTGGCTGCACACTTGGCCGGGAGCTACTCGAGCGACTCGTATCCGATATATGAGAACCCGTACCGCGTATCCTCCATGCGTGTGACCCAGTCGCAGCGATCGGAGTCCCCCATCTACAGCAATACGACAGCTTCGTCGGCCACCCTGGCGGTGGTGCCACCACATCACCATCTGACTGTGCCCTCGAGCGGTGGATCGCTAAGTGGCAGTGGTCGCGGCGGCAGCTCTGGCAGCATTCGGGGAGCCTCTACCTCAGTGCAATCTCTGTACGCCCCGCCACCCACGCCGCCGGCAGCTGGTGTGGCACCCACTGGGGGTGCTGCGGCGGGAAGTGTAAACGGATCTTTGCAGAAGGTGCCGTCACAGCAGTCGCTGACGGAGCCCGAAGAGCTTCCCTTGCCGCCTGGCTGGGCCACGCAGTACACGCTGCACGGTCGAAAGTACTACATCGATCACAATGCCCACACAACGCACTGGAATCATCCGCTGGAGCGTGAGGGTCTGCCCGTGGGCTGGCGTCGCGTGGTGTCCAAGCTGCATGGCACTTACTACGAGAACCAGTACACGGGCCAGTGCCAGCGGCAGCATCCCTGCCTCACATCCTACTACGTATACACCACATCGGCTGAGCCGCCCAAGGCGATCATGCCAGAGGCATCGATGTACGCACCACCTGCCCACACACACAACGCCCTGGTGCCGGCCAATCCATATCTGCTCGAGGAGATACCCAAGTGGCTGGCCGTCTACTCGGAGGCGGACTCCTCCAAAGATCATCTGCTGCAGTTCAACATGTTCAGCCTGCCCGAGCTGGAGGGCTTCGACAGCATGCTGGTGCGTCTCTTCAAGCAAGAGCTGGGCACCATTGTGGGCTACTATGAGCGTTATCGGTGAGTGGCCCGATTCGACGTCGCCGTCGCCGTTTCTCCACTCCACCATTTTAAAACTCTCTTCCATTTCGTTTTCAGTCGCGCTTTAATACTCGAGAAGAATCGACGCGCCGGCCAGAACCAGAGCCAGTAGTGAGAGTCCCCCCAGCCCAAAGACAACAGACGCAACACACACACACCGGATACTCGCCACTCCGCTAGAGACCTAGTTATCCTACACGATCGACCCTATTAACTTATTTAATCCCCCTTTAAAGCGACCTATGAAATCAGTGCCTTCAACAAGACTTTTACGATGTGAATCGGTGGAGAGATAAAGAGATCCAGCTCCAGAACCAGATGAAGATTCACATCCAGAGAACCTCTAGTTTTAACGTAGAAATGTTTTACGTTCGATTATGCCCATTGTGTACTGTGAATTGAGCTTTGCTTTGCTTTGTACTCGTACTCGTGTGCTGTACTGTATATTGTGCAAATTAAACAATATTTTTGTATGCTCAAATAACCAGAAGAATGTAATCAGAGCCAGAATGTCGCCAAAGGAATGCCATCAATGGGAGTTTCGGTGAGTATCTGATAACTGAACGAACCTGGGGGAACGGACTCGGATCGGATATACCCTTTGTTGTGCCAAGTTTTGGCTTTGGCTTGCACAACATTCCATTTTCCACATGTGCCCTGCCAAGTTTGCAAAATTTATGCATTTAGCACAAAGATTTGTTTTTGTTTGGTTTTTTTTTGGCATAAAATCATTTATAGAAAGTGAATCTTTTTATCAGCAGTGGTCAGGTTTTTTCGTGAATTTTGGAGCATTATCGGCGAGCATCAATCGGGCATCATGTACACGCAATGCATGTTGTTTTTATACCACACATTTCCAGGTATTCTTTTTGCGCACTAAATGTTTGTTGTTTTTATACTACAAATTCTATGGAATTCTCTTCAGCACTAATCACTTGTGTGTCTCAAGTCGATCATCAATGTGCCGAGTCATGTGGTACCGATGGCAGCGGTTGTGAGAATCTTTCGTTTATTTATGCTTTCTTGTTGTTGTTTTAATCAGACCTGATTAGTGAGTGCCGTAGACCGTTATCAACCAGCAACAGACGCCTATAAACATTTTACTGCTGGTAGTACTGCAGTTTCCGCCAAACATCTCTCTCTCTCTCGCTTGCTGATAACAGAGGTTTTTTTTGGGTACCATTTGGTATTTATATCATTATCTTGTAAATCGTGTTTTATGGTACACAAAAACATGTGCCTGTTGTTTAGAGATTCCCTGTTTCCCTTTCCCTTTCCGTACCTTTCTACCAAAAAATGTATGATCTTGTGGCAGCTCCTGAATATTTATAGAAATTTTGAGTACCCTTTCGATTGATGGAGAGGTTCGTCAAGTGCAAAAAAAACCCAGAAAACGAGAAACGAGGGCTGGTGTTTTTCGGATACCCTTGCAGATCCATTGTTTTCCTAATTTGGTCAAAAACCCAAAGAAAACTCTGGGAAAAATGGGTTTATAAATAGCATGGGGATATATGTAAGGGATATGTGGGTTTATGAACATCATATAATCATTTATAATACCCTGCAAGGGTACCAGCCAAGCGGTTGGTTGTCGCCTCACTGTTCTGGCTGTTTCGCTCTCGCTCCAATTGTTGTTGTTGTTGTTGTTGTTGTGGTTGCTGTTTGAGGCCTGGGCCTGGGGAGTCAGTCGCGCTGCCGCCGTCAACTGCGCAGCGACTGCATGGGCTCCATTTATACGTATTGGCCTGGCCGGGGACCCGCTCAGTCGCTTGACAGTCGCACATCGTTCGGTATCGCATCGGTTCGGCGTTCATTCGCATCATCATCATCATCCAGCGCCCAGCCTAATTGTCAGTTAAACACATTGTTTAACTTCTGTTTTAACGTCGGTAAGTGGCAAGTGTCCGGACGCTGATCACTGAGCAAACAGATGTCTGTTCTGAGTGGTTCTGGGCGATCATTGGGTTGCATTTTTTCGACTCGGATCTCGACCATTTGATTCCCCATAGTCCATATGACATGTGAGAGCGAGCTCCGCTCTGCTTTCCAAGACCAGACGACACCAGTGAAAGTTCTAATCCGGCTGTAAAAGAGACTTATAAACATTCGCTAAACATTCGCGCTTCTCTCCCCCCCATGTGTTGAATTATTTATTACTTATGGCTTTTGTTTATTGGTATTTACACAATTGGTCTCTTTGTGGTGGTGGTGTGTGGTGTGGAGTAATCTTCTTATCAGTGTAATAACTCTATTGCTGACTTTCTGTGCGAATAGATTACGTTTAAATTCAAGATGTGGCAGCTACAAATCAAAGATCAGCTTCCTGGGAAATGCAATTATAAGTATTTCAACAGAATGAGAAATTCTCAGGAGCTGTCAAGAATCATAATCATGCGCATAATATGTGTTTAGTAAAGACTCTGCTCTCCCTCCTCTATTCTCACCCGTCTGGGTCATTGCATTGCTCAAGCCGTGGACTATCTGTATGGGTTTTAGGACTGGCGTAATTTTAGTGGTTGGCAATAATTCGAATAAACCTATTGACACTATCGCCAACAGCATTCATTGAGATAAGCCCATTCTGAGGCGGCCCGACTTATAAACGCCTTGTCATGGGACGCACTATAAACACCGCACCCCCCACCATATACTTAGTACTTGGTCTGGACTCATTTGTGTGTATTTATGGCCGTGTATTTCCTCCTCCTCGATCGAGTGCCGTGCAAAAAAAGTTTGCTCTAATTGCCAAGCTGTAACATTGAAAGCGGGATGGGGCTGGGGGTATGGCAATGTTGAAGGTTGCCTGCCCCGCAAACAGTTTTTATCTCGTATGAAATTGTTAACACGAAAGTTGTATTAAGAGAGAGAAAAAGAGAGAGACACGCACCGCACCAGAGTACAGAAAGAGATGCAATCGATTAGATAGAAATAGAGAGTTAATTGAAACAAAATGTACTACCATTTTATTAAACATCCAATTATTATAATATTTCTCGATCACTGAACTTGTAATCAGCAATAAATCATGGAAATTTGCATTTCAAATTGAATGCAGAACGGTTTCTCACCCTTTGAATGCACGGGTGATTCCCCCCCACTGATTGCAGCAAATTAAATTCAATTCAATTAAATCAATCCATTCCTCCTTTTAGTGCGTCACCGATGAAAATGCCAACAAGTGTGAGAACTCATTGGAATAAACAGTTGATCTAAGATCTCGAGAGTACTTCAACTTCAGAAGAACCAGAATTAGAATGAATACCTTTTTACTGGCCCTGCTCTTCTGGGCAACAGGTAATTAATTGTAATGGAAACAAGAACTTTAAACAAGAATTCGTGTTCTACCGGCAGTTGCCCTGGGAAATGGACAAACCAATCGGGGCCTAACAGTCGACTCCCATGACATCACCGTTCTGTTGAACACCAACGAGAGCTTCATCGTCTTTGCCAAGTGGGTTTTTATTGAAACTGAATCGTTTCTTATCAAATTTAACTCAAACTCTCCATTCAGGGAAGATCTAACAGAGCCCGTGAGTGTGAGGCTACTAAAAGAGCATGACGATCATTTGAGCTTGGATCCTGAGTCATTCACATATCCAGCGGGAGCTACGGGCAACCAGACGGTGGTGATAACAGGCCTAAGGGCTGGCTATGTGGCTGTCACAGCCGTCGATGGCTCCAATGAACTGTAAGTAACATGCATTCTTTTATATATTAAATACTCTATATTTGTTTCCTTCAGCATTGAAGATGTCTATCTGCGTGTCACTGTGGCCGTGTCGAAGGGCCTCATCTACACCTCGATTGTGTTCGGTTGGGTGTACTTTGTGGCCTGGTCGGTTTCCTTTTATCCCCAAATTTGGATCAACTTCCGTCGCAAGTCTGTGGAGGGCCTGAACTTTGACTTTGTCATCCTTAACATTGTGGGCTTCACATTGTACAGCATGTTCAATTGCGGCCTGTACTTCTTTGACACCATGCAGGACGAATATGAGAGCCGACATCCGCGTGGCCTCAATCCGGTCATGCTGAACGATGTCGTCTTCTCGCTGCATGCCATGTTTGCCACCATCATAACGATTGTTCAATGCTGCATCTATGAGGTAACAATGCGGTGGAGATCCATGAGTATTCCAATTATTATAAATTTCAAAAATTTATAGCGTGCCGGTCAAAGGGTCTCGTGGACAGCCTATTCCTTATTGAGTGTCTTTGGTGTGGTCGTGGTCGTATCGGCCTCTTTGGCCGCAGCCTCTGTCATCCACTGGCTGGACTTTCTGTACTACTGCAGTTATGTGAAGCTGGCCATTACCATCATTAAATATGTACCGCAGGCTCTGATGAACTACCGCAGGAAGAGCACAGCGGGATGGTAAGTGAATGATTTAATGAGGATACCCTGGTTCATATTCAATAATGATCGCATCTTGTAGGAGTATCGGAAATATCCTACTGGACTTCACGGGCGGCACGCTGAGTATGCTGCAAATGATTCTGAATGGCTTTAACTACGGTAAGGGTTGCAAATTATGATTATTTTCTCACTTTAAAGCATTGTATTTCCAGACGATTGGGCCTCCATATTTGGGGATCCTACCAAGTTTGGTCTTGGCCTCTTCTCGGTCCTCTTCGATGTGTTCTTCATGCTGCAGCACTATGTGTTCTATAGGTAAATGGAGTGGGAGTAATGGTTCACAAAACATACATACATATATTTGTTAATTCTGCGATGTACTATACCCATCCTAATCGATTGTACACTGATCATTATTGTGCTGTTTGTTCCCTTACTTTACAGGCACTCGAGAGAGTCCTCAAACTCTGACCTCACCACCGTAACAGAAGCCCCAAATCAAACACCAATCGAGCCTAGACACGAGACTTCCGAGAAATATTAGTAGAGCTTTAATCTGTCTGTGTGCTGTAGTAGTACTAGTAGTAGTAGTAGTAGATTTGTGTGCCTATTTATATTATTTAATTTGTATATTTTCGAATTTGTAAATACATATGTATATGCTTTAGCTCCTCATATACTCATACCACAATTGTAAATACTTTTTACTATTGGAATCCAAATATATTTGTATTCTAATAGCTCGTAATGATTGTATTTATAGAACAAATCCCTCGTACGGGAGAGTGACAAGACGTGTGTCGGTATATGCACTAAGACCAGTGGGTTTTATAATGCGTAAACTGTGCCAACGTCCAAAAAGATTCCAGTATTAAACAAAAATTCAAATTTAACGTTTTTTTTTTTACTGCACGAGCTCAATGGTAGTTGGGAAAAATGGAGAAGTATCGATAGTGACATGAACGACTGTATATCCGCCTTAATTACACTTCAAATGTAAATTTAATGTAATGTAAAAACATCGAATTGGAAAAAACATCGATATCTGCAATGTACACATATCCAAACATCGATGACATCGAAGTTAACATGCAGCTCTAGTTTGGTTTATAACTTACAAAATGTCGCTGAAACGAACATCGTCGGTCACCATGACTCTGGAAAAGTAAGATAAACGTATTTGTGCAATGCCCTCGTATATAGTTGAATGTTTTGCCAGAAATGCTTGCGGTGTTGCCCGCACAAGCAGCCAAACGCTTATAAAGTTTGTGCAGGACAACGATGGCTTTTTCACAAACGGATCCCAATTGATAAGCTCCAGCACCGTTTCTCAAGCGACTTACACCTGGACGCCTGTATTGGAAGTGGCAGCCGTTGCACAGCAGTATGAGGAATCTGTGATCACTGGCGGGGGACAAAATATGAACAACAACGTAGTACTTTATAACCAAAGCGGACAACTGGTTAACACAATGGCTGATGTTCATGCATCAAGCAACATAAACTACGGCGGCCTGGCGCACGTGCCACAGACCATTCAAACTTATAGTGTCGCAGCAGCCAACGATATACAGGAGGAATATTTTCACAATGGCGGATATAATATCAATAATAGTGGTTTAACCTATAGCCAAAATGGACAAAACGCTAGCCGCGCAAGCGATGTTTTCGGATCAGGAATCATAAGCTCGGGCGGTGTGCCGCACGTGCCCGTCCTTCCGGCCGCATATTTCAGTAATGGCGGACAACAAGTTAACAATGGCGGAAACTTGGCCGCAAATTGTGTCAACCAAAATAATAATGTGATGCAGCAGAACGCCTGCAGTTTGACTATTCCTGCTACTGTGGAAGGAGCAGGAGCACCCATTGCCGTATCGGTGACTGGCAAGTCCTTAACATACGTTGGACAAAATCGTGCCGCAGTGGCTGTTTATAAGCGGTGAGTATTTTTCACACACACACAAACACATATTTAGTTTAGTTTAAAAAAACGCGCACATTTCGATGAACCGATAACAGTACTTATCGACTGTGAGCGCGTTCCGCAGGCATAATTTTCATACCCTAGGGAAAATAATATTAAACAGAAATGTTTGTCATCCCAGGCTCTTATTAATGCAGAAACTAGTCAGTCTCTGTTTTAAAGCCATATTTTGAAAAATGTTGCTCAAAATTGGGCAATAGAAACAATTTTTCTCTTACGTGTTATTACGTTTGATTTTTTTTACCTTTTTCGCTAAAACCTTTTTTTAGGCAAAATCCAATAAAAGGAAGTATTTCAAACAAGCCAGTCAAGTAGAAAATAGGTTCATTAAAATGATAAAATCGTGTGGGCAGGTCTGAGAGTTCTATATATCTAGTAATATTCGACGGAATATCAAAATCGAGGAATATGTATAAAAGAACTTGAATTCGTCAGTATAATGACGGTGATGGTATATTTTGGTATATTTTTGAGGGTCACACTGTCCGCGACCACACTGTTTATGTTTAGTTTATTGCGATTTTAAAAATAATCAACAATTTGTTAGCTTCCTGCAAGCTGACTTCTGGTTAAAGGAGTGCCAGGAAGGCACATATCACAGCCAATGTCTTGGCACAAAGTAAGGTATTCAATGATAATGCTAAATCAATTCCTTGCTTCATATTGAGGCGGCCAAGACAAATGCTAATTTATCACATTCCACAGCGAGGATGCGGTGAACGTTTTACATGCTGCCAACGCTGATAGCTCCGTGGGATCAGCTGCTTCGACTGTGGAGGATGGGGCCATTAATGAAGCGTCCGACGAGCCCACCGACTTGTGAGTATATCGGCCACAGGTGGTTTTTGCGGTCCCCTAATATTTCATGTATGTATTTATACTCCTGCTATCATAGAACCACCGAACCGATGGCCTTCCTTCAGGGACTAAACGTAAGTGGAAATACAAACATTTCAGATTTATGGTGCATTAACGAACATTCTTTTATTTGTGATTTGTGCAGTCGGGAAATCTGATGCAGTTTAGCCAGGTGAGTGCTGCTAGTACATTTTGAAGCGATGCGACAAATCGGCCTGGATGAGTATCAGCAAAAAGCTAGAGACGGCGGAAAACACATTAATGATCAGCTGCATGTCCAGCTCGTACAGACCCATTGGCCTTATCTTGAACTTGGTGAGGGTCACTAGGAGGGTGAAACTATGGACAGCCTGGCGATACCGGCAGTCGGCATGCTGCAGGTTCATCTCCTGCAGTATTATGGCTGTTCTCCTGGTGGCCACGAGTAGATTGTTGCACAAGTGTGCCAGCATTGTGATCTCGGTGAGCGATATGAACAGAAAGACTAGATTTATGAGCGCTCCCAAGCCGTCGTACGGCTTGCTGCCAAGAAATGTGTCCGCTAGGGCATAGTACAGACTGTAAAATCCCACTGTCATGCCCAGCAGATTGCAGATCAACGACAGGATAATCGAAAGAGACATGAGGGACAAGTACTTGTCGCTATGCACATAAATCACTATATAACGGTCCGCCAGTCGGTCCAGCTCATCCGCCAATGAGCAGAACCTCTGCATGCGATAGAACGAAGTGTTCAGCTTCAGCTGATCCTCCCTCTGCATGATATTCACCTGCTGGCGATGCGACTCCAGTCTCACATTGATCGCTTTCAGGATCTCCTTCACCACAATCATGGCTCCAAAGTAGCAGTTGTTGAGCAGGTTTGAAATGATCAGCGGGAGCAGACGGTACACGGTCCAAATCAAACTCAATTCCGGCTCCAGGCGCCGCTGCTGCAGTATGAAGGTTGTCTCCAGTATCAGAGGAAAACCGACCGACTTGACCAGAGCCATGGCAATCGATCGAAGGAGCGATGCATTGTCCAAATGGAACATTTTGAGGGTCTGAAATAATGGCACTTGGCTCATTGTCTTCGCCACAGTGTCGTTCATGATCATTTGTGTGACATAGTTGATAATTGCCACTGTAATGTTCATGTAACTATAAAGGCTCACAGCATCCCGCAGGTTGATCTGTCCTTGAATGTAGTCCTGGTATATCTGATGCCCATAGATGCCAGCAAAGGCGATGGTCCACAGTATGGCATACGCCAGATATACTTTTGAGAGCTTGAAACTTTGCCGTCTACGGCTATCGTATCGATTGGCCAGCAGTCCAAAGACGGTCATGAGCAGAATCAGTGTAATTGTTAGTACTTTCACCATACGCCTATGCGTAACATCAATCGAAGATGTCATTCTGTTCAAACCTCTAAAGACAGACTAGTCTGGTGTCTGCTATACACTGAACAACGGCCTAATGGCTGCTTAATTGTTTTTTCCACTATCGTACTGATGCCATCTTCAGGACTCCTCTGTCCGACACTATCTGGAGGCATCGCAAGGCACTTGCTTAATGTTCGGTGGATGGAAATCAACTGAACTGGCTCCGTTCAGGAGCGAAAGAGTGGCGACATTCCCCGTGTGACTCAGTAGCAGACGCGATTGTGCTTGCAGCAATTTCATAAGACCGGCATGACGTCACAGTCAGAAACGATTCAGAAAAGAAAATACTGCATGTGTTTGGCCAGTGCCGTGCGAAAAAAGTTGCATACACTTGTGAAAGACTAGAAAAAAATCAGTTCACGAGCTGTCCTTCGTCGAGTCGATACCTGTTGTGCAAGCAGCAACATGAAGCTCTATCAGCTTTACAAACGCCAAGTGTGATCCGTCCAACTGTTTTTTGGTTTGTTCTCCTACTAATTGCCTGTTCTTTCTAGCAATCCGTGCTGCGCGAGATGATACTGCAGGATCTACAATGCCAAAGCAATAGTTTGCCCAAACTGGAAAGCCACAATATTGGTGGCTACAATTTCAGCATGGATTTGAAGGAGCCTCCCAAGTCGCACTGGGTGTACTCGGATCTATTGAACAAGCTCTACATACGCATGGAGAAGACATTCAATGTAGACGTGCAGTTCAAGTCAATAATGCCCATACAGCCGCTAAATCTGCGAGTCTTTCTTTGCTTTAATAAAGACGTCAGCGGTGCTGTGCTGCGCTGTCAGAATCACTTGAGCACAGAGCCAGGTGAGAGCTCAGCTCTCTCAGGAGCATCCAGTCCTCTAATAATCTACTTTTCATTGCAGTTACCCATCACAATTTCAAGATGCGCGAGAGTTTGCTGCGTTGCGAGAATCCACGCACCACGTACTGTGGATCGGCTCAGGGCAAGGGCATTTCTGAAAGGTATTCGGTGCTGGTGCCGTTGAATTTGAGCCGTTCTGGGAGTCGCAACGGCGGCTTAATACGCCAGACGCTCGCCTTTAAGTTTGTCTGCCAGAACTCGTGCTTGGGCAGGAAGGAAACAAGCTTGATCTTTTGTCTGGAGAACTCGAGGTGTGTAAGCTGTTAAATGCAGTAGTGTCCAACGTTTATACTATTTTTTTTTGCAGCGGCGATATTTTGGCACAGAATTTTATAGGAGTCAAAATCTGCACGTGCCCTAAAAGAGATTGCACTCAAGATGTACGCCATTTTCGAGGGGCAAATGAGAAGAAACGCAAATCGTTGGCCACATCAGATAATGAGGATGATAACGACGTGATGCCTGCGAAAATACGTCGCCGTACCGTGTCGTGCAAGCAAGAAACCGAGAGCAATGACGGCCACGATGCGGACTACCTGCCCAACGATTGGGAGGTTTCGCGCACCTTTGACGGTCAATATCGCCTTGCCATAACGTGCCCCAAAAAGGAATGGCTGCTTCAGAACATCGAGGGCATGATCAAGGAGTCGGCTGCTGAAGTGCTGCGCAGTCCGACCAAACCCAATCTTCGTCATTATGCCAACAATTTGTTGAACCTGAAAAGTAAGATTCGCCCGGACATCCTCCCATGGTATTTTGTTTCATATTTTTATCTAATTACAGAACGTGCCTTAGATCTGCTATGACCTGGAGCCTAGCTAATGAAAGTCTGACAATGGTCCAAGCGGATAACCTACTGAGTATTTAATTATTATTAAAACCCACATGCTAGGAAGATGTGGATCTGCTTAGAGTTCAGGGAAAGAGTACAAGTGTTACAGAAGAAAATATAGTTTATAGTTTTATACAGACATGCAACATGTACAAACTGTTGGGCAACCCAAAAGCCAATTAATGTGAATTAAAAATGACTTGAGTTTATTTCATGTCAGAAATTTCTTATAAAAACTAAGTGTTACATGAGATCTTAGTGCTAGCTGCCAGGGCCATCGATTGTAGAGTTAGTTATAAAGATCAGACATGTTTTGTTGTATTTAGATAGTGGCAGGACTTACGTTAGGAAAGTGGACTGGCAGATTGGACAGTTTCGTGGGTTAATCGTTCTGGAAATCCGAATAAACATCACATCAGTGCGCCTCGTACTGTACAGTACATCATCGTCGCGCATGCTATGGCCAGGGCTCTGGCACATGTGTGGCTTGTGTGTGCGGTCATTGCTCTGCAGAGTTCTATCCCAGCCCAGGCCTCAGCTAGGCTGCAAATTGTTCTGCTGCATTTATGCACATTTTATTTATACGCACATACTCGTATCTGTGCATCTTTGGTTTTAGTTCTATGCTTATATAAAAAAGACACGTTAAATAGCGCATGCGTTGCATTTTGCCCACGCCACGCCAAAGTTGCACATGTGCGCGAGGATGCAAAAAAACAACAGATGTTGACACTATGCCGCTGCAGCTGCAGGCGACTTTAGCTTTTGCCACATGCGGCAAAGGCAGCGGGAACGGCAACTGAATGTTTACGCCACAGCCAGGCCACCAAATGCTGGTGCTGCTGCTGCCGCTACTGTTCATTGACCTAGGGCAGGGCACATGATACTATGTTCGAATGGTAACGGGCTCCTTAGCCATGACCATAAGGCAGGCATAGCGGATGTATCGGCTTCCATTTGGGGGCCTTTCCTTTTTCACTTACAATAAACCTCGGCGGGCACCTTACCAGTTTGGCTTCATGAAAATGGGTCGAATCGTAAAACCGCTCAAAGTCTCTCTCGCTTCTCGTTGGGCGACAGAGAGAGAGAGAGACACTCTCCTCTTGAAGCTGTTTTTCTTTGGCGATGCACTCACCTTAGTTAACCAATTAAATATTTGAGTTTGGTTTCGATTGGCTGGCTGGCGGCAAAATGTTGACAGTTGGAAAGTTTGGATACAGTGGGTTAGAACAGGGTGATTTTAGGTCAATTTTCAAAGTCCTAATGGGGTGTTTACAGGAAAAAGCTTGTTGTCTGAAGGAAAATAGATGGTAGGAGTACTATATAGATCTGGGGGCAGATATGGAAATGAATGTCAGCAGTTACCTCTTATGGAAGATCTACATAGATGAAGATGAATTCATGCACCCAGAGAAAAAAGCCCTAATATTGTGTTTCTTTTTGAAATGCCATTTTTCTCTTGGTGTAGTCATGTTTAGAGTAAGTTCTTCTCTGTAGATTATGTTTCTCCCAGGGATCACACCTGATAACTACCAAGATAAACAACAGATATGTACATATCTAATTTTAACTAAATGGAATTAAGATTTCTATGAAACTTTGGTGACTCAGTGGATGATTCAAAACAAATCCAAGTCGGATATTTATAAGAAGTGGTGGTGTCTTATCAAAATCCTATTTTGACTTCCTGGCTTACAATGGGTATGTGTATATTTTGTATTTTTCATAGAATCTTGTTCATCTTCACCTGTTGCTTATCCGCAATTCCAGATAAAGGGCCAGATAAACCAAAAGAGAGGTCTTCTATCATAGGCTGCAAACCCACTGTGGGAATGTGGAATGACGACGAAAACAAAACAGAAAGTCAGGTGAAACCCAGACTGCAACTCCACTCCACTCCATGCTAAATACTCGATTCCACTCAAACGAAATGCTCTCGGTAGCTGCCCACTCGAATGTGCAGTCGTAGTAGATCCAAAACCAGATATCAAGCAAACGACGCTGCTCTCGAGCCAAAAGCGATCTTCACTCGTGGGAGAAAGAGTCGAAAGCTTGACAACGGGCCAGCGTCGAGCGTCGAACGTCGAACGGCGGTACATGGCGTACATTTGGCGCTCGCATTCGGTTGTTGGCTTTGGCGTTGGCGTTGGCGTTGTCGCTGTCGCTGTCGTTGTCGTGTTGGTGCTCAGTGTGTTCTCCCATCTTCTCTCCGCTGGCACGTTACGTTGGAGCTGTGTGGAGTGACAAGAAAATAAAAATATAGCCAAGCAAAATAGAGATCCCCCCACAAGCTGTGCCATATTTGTTTTGACCGCGAAAATATCCGAGTGCGGGCTGTCTCCAGCTGGTTTCTTGGCTGTAAAAAGGTGTAATTGAATAATTAATAATGGTGGAAACGGCTACCACTACGACTGTGACGCGGACAACCATTACGGCACCGGCTGGACCCGCCGCTACGGTGCCCTCATCTTCGGCCACGCCCACGGCTCCTACGGCTACCCAGGCAGCCTCACAGGCGCGCCGCAACGATGAGACCACCCGGGCCCTCTTCAATCTGAAAATCATCATCTTCCTGCTGCTGCTGCCTCTGATCCTGCTCGCCGTGGGACTGAAGCATCTCCTGGACTATCTGTTCGCTCTGGGCCTCAAGGAGAAGGATGTGAGCGGCAAGGTGGCGCTGGTAAGATCCATTTTGAGTGCGGCTGCAGCTAAGTTATGGACACAATAAACGGCTGGCAAATGGCCCATTAATAATACTCTTCGCTGGTCAGATATCTCTCTGTCAGATATCAATCGTATGTCGTATGCATAGATATGACCCCCCACCAGACAGCCAGCCAGCCAGCCAGCCAGCCATAGATGAAACGTCACGCACTTTCCTTTTTCAGTGGCTGTTTGCACCCACCTTGCAGCACTTTCCCCCCTTTTGGATGGGCCTCCGAGTTATCTGAGATGGGTGCGGCACGATCGGTTGGCTGGAGCTCTCGGCTCTTGGCTCCATGTTATTTGAGTCAATGTTTACGCGTCTTTGGTGCCAGCCGTGTCGGTTGGCCAATTGTTTATGTTTGTAGATTGTTTATTTCTTATAAAAGGTTCTCTATGGTCAGCGCTTCTGACATCACATACCATGTGTAAATCCATGTAATTCTAAGAATATCGCTAATTGAATTTCGAAACACTTTGCGGCATCATATCTCGGTCTATTAATCACACATTACACATGGACTGGCGGCTGGTTTCGAATCATAATGAAAAGTCAATTGCGGGGTCGCCCTCGCGCAAGGTCAAGTGTGCGGGTAATCGAACACTGGATACATATGCTGGAGAACCTGATCGAATTTATAAGTAAATTTAGTGGACATTAGCATTCCATTCTTGTCTGCCAGCTTTTGTGGCGTGTGTGGGCGTGTGCTGGCTGGCCATAAACGTAGAGCATTTATGAATCATTGCAGCTTGGCTTTTGCTTTAGACTCAGACTTTCGATCGTTCTCTCAGATACAGATATGGTCACAGCGGCGTGCCCACGGGGGGCTGGCGGTACAAGCATCTTAACAGTGAGAAACAGCCCAATTAGAAGATTGACATTCAAAGATAACTTTTGATGTACTTCATTGTTTTTTTGAGAGGGCTTTTAGAGCTGAGAGAACCCCCTCTGTGCACGCCTCTGTGAAACCGCAAACTGGTTTGTGTCGCTATTTATACCAAGACGAAAAGAAAGAGTGGAAAAAATGCAAACCTCAGGAACTTCACTTTTGTTTTCAGTTCAACAAACAATTGATGACGTTTACCCGATCGCATGTAAACAACCATCGCGCCCCAGCGAGAGATACTCGCTCCACCGAGCGGCGTATCTCTCAGATGCGTGCCGAGATAAAACCCATACAGATACATAGATATATTGTAGCTACGAGTGCTACTTCTATTGTTGCTGTAGTTAATTTGCATATGATATTGAAATTCTTTAGGAATAGTATAACCACAATACAATTGCGCATCGGAGCTGCGTTGCCAGGTGCTGCCTATTTTTGTTTTTCGATGATTTTTACATACCCTGTAGTCGTAGGGGAGTAGTATACTGGTATATCTGTCGGCATGTTCCGCAATCTTTCTTTAGATACGGAACAGTGCTTTGGGAATCTTATCTCCCAATTAAACAAAAATCTGATAATCGTTACAGCCAGCTCCTCGAGTATATGAGTATCTAGATACAAGTATCCTTACTGTGAGAAATAATATTCAGCTTTAAATGTAAAATAATAGTTTAATTAAATTTATTTAACTTTGATTTCAATATAAATAAAATCCAAGTCGCCTTCACATGGCTTTTTTCTCTCCGTGTACCACCCAACTTTTTGTTCTATTCGTTGTAATATACTCCCAAGCTCCTATCGGGTAACTCTTAGTCCGTATTCTACAATATATTGTTTTAGTTTGTTTGTGGGCTTTTTTCCCATATGTTCTCGAACGTGCCAAAACTTTGAGTTGTGGCACGGCGCATTGCATTGGGCGTTGGGTCGCACCCCCAACGGAGCCACTGAGGTCACAGTTCGCTTTAATTACGGTCAAAAGTCACTCAATTGTGTGCCCGAAAAGAGGTTCGGCTCCGGCTTCGGCTTGGGCCCATAGAGCGTATGAGTAATGCTGTTCATAGTACTCGTAAGTGGCTCCCATAATTGGCATTAAACGGGGGGCTTTTTGTTCAATGCGAAGCCACATTAGCTCAAGTTGATTGTTTGCAAATTAAGCTAATTAATCTGTACGGTACGAGCACTCGTATAATTAGAGTAAAATGCGTTTTAATCTGCCAGGTGACTGGTGGGGGCAGCGGCCTGGGTCGCGAGATCTGCATGGAGCTGGCCCGCCGCGGCTGCAAGGTGGCCGTCGTCGATGTCAACTCCAAGGGCTGCTACGAGACAGTGGAGCTGCTCAGCAAGATTCCCCGATGCGTGGCCAAGGCCTACAAGGTGGGTTAACATTGAGTTAAAGCTGGCTTTCCCGATAGAATACTGATAGCACATTGCCCTTACAGAATGATGTCTCCTCGCCGCGTGAGCTGCAGCTGATGGCCGCCAAAGTGGAAAAGGAGCTCGGCCCCGTGGATATTCTGGTCAATAATGCCTCCCTGATGCCCATGACCTCGACACCCTCGCTGAAGAGCGACGAAATAGATACCATTCTGCAGCTGAACTTGGGCTCCTATATTATGGTGTGTATACTGTAGTTAATGGTCCTTTGTGGCTTATCTTCAACTGATGGAATGTATGCCTTGCAGACCACAAAGGAGTTTCTGCCCAAGATGATAACACGCAAGTCCGGCCACCTGGTGGCAGTGAATGCCTTGGCGGGTGAGTTCTCCTTTCATGTGAGAAGCCATGACCTCCCTTAACCTCTATTCCCTATTGCCCTTGTAGGTTTGGTTCCCTTGCCGGGCGCTGGCATCTATACGGCCACCAAATATGGTATTGAGGGTTTCATGGCGGCCCTGCGCGCCGAACTGCGTCTCTCCGACTGCGACTATGTCCGTACCACAGTGGCCAATGCCTATCTGATGCGCACCAGCGGAGATCTGCCGCTGCTCAGCGATGCCGGGTAAGAGCTTGTGCCTCCTTCCTCGCATTAAGCCCACGACTCCAACACACTTTCCTTTACAGCATAGCGACCAGTTATCCAGGCCTGCCCACACCCTATGTGGCCGAGAAGATTGTGAAGGGCGTGCTGCTGAACGAGCGCATGGTATACGTGCCAAAAATCTTTGCACTCAGTGTGTGGCTGCTCAGGTGATAATTGAATTAGCCGGGCACCAAGTGCCAACGCTTAACGATTTCACTATCATTTTCATTTTCATTTTCATTTGCCCTTTCAATGTGTAGACTGTTGCCCACCAAGTGGCAGGATTACATGCTGCTGCGCTTCTACCACTTCGATGTGCGCAGCTCCCACCTGTTCTACTGGAAGTGAGATTCCACTCCGGCATTTTCATGGAACAACTCTCATTGTTCACCATTTGCAGCTCTTAATTTAATGAATAGCTATTTATACTAACTTTAAACTAAAAGTAAATCTATTTTCAAACTGATGTGGCAAGGCCATGTTCTGTCTGCGCTGCTGATAAGGCCTCCAATCATTGCGCCGTGTTCGGCAATGGCTTTGATGGATATCGCTTCCGCAGTCTTAGTGCCTGGCTGTAGCACTTCTGCTGGGATCTCTGCACGCAGGAGCGCTGCTCGTAGTTCCACGTGTAGTTCAGGGGACAGCGATGGATGATCTTGTAGCCGTTGGAGCAGTAGTAGAAGTAGGCGCAATTGCTCGGATGCGGTATGAAGCCGTAGACACCGGTTAGGCAGCTGATGGATCTGGCTGGTTGCCTCTGAGCGCAGGACACCAGCTGGGCGGGCGTGCAGGTCTTGGCCAGGCCCGCTCCCTCGTAGCAGACCATATAAGGATAACAGGGCCCGGCATTCTGCAGTAAGCGGAGGGTTATGGCCAGAGGCTGTGGGGATTTCGTTGTGTTGACTACCAAGTCCGTCAAAGTCTCTTGATTCGCTGGCGACTCGGTGGTGCTGGCTGCCAAATCCGATCCCTTTGCCTGGCATCGCTTCACCAGGGCGCGATCCACGCACCGCTCCGTGATATCGTCGTAGTAGTGCTCGCCCAGGCACTCGGCCTCGAAGGAACCCGCTCCGGCGCAGTAAATGTACTTGGAGCAATTGCTGTGGCTGGCCACGTAGACACCCAGTTTGGGGGCACTGGCACACTCCTCATAGTCCAGGGCCAAAGTTCGATAGCCCACGAAGGTCACCAGAGCCATGTGGAACCAGGAGATACTGCTTTTCGTTGCCATTTTGTGCGACCGTTGTGGCTGGATAGCTTCTGAAGACTGGCTTCTGTTCGGGGGTATCTGAAGATAGTGGGGTCGGAATATTTTTGCATGTGACTTACTGATAGCAAAATATACTGCGGCAGAGAATACTTGTAGCCTCGTGTATTACGTGATAATTTGCTTAGATAATGCTGATGAGTTCTGGGAGTTACAGAGGGCCCTCGTTTACGGGTTCCATAGCATACTTTCCTGCAGAGCGGGCACACACAGATTTAATGACCAAACCGCAATACTTCACATTACTCTTCAGAGCGGCAGGCACACAGCTCAATAAAATTGAAAACGCACTCAATACACAATTAAGTGTCGCCACTTCCGCCCAGGGCCAAACAGTCAGGCCAGCCACACGCACACAGACCATCCTCATTCATTCACATCATCATCTCCATCATCCCCATCATCATCGGCATCATCATCATCATCATGTGGATGCAGCAGCCCATCCATCCATGGCCGTTGGCAGTTAAGCGATTTAATATTCGATGAGATATTCATAACTTGCAATTAGGTTTGGTGTCGCGCTCGATTTTCCACGGATGTCCTCGGATTTCTGTTCTCCCTTTCTCTGCCCTGCTCTGCTTTTTCCGCAAACGATTGCGCGCTGGCTGATTAATGAAGAATTACCAGGGCAAATGGCTGGGATCTGTGGGCATTATCCAATTCCCAACTACCCGACTGTCATTAACATAATATTCGATGCTGTCAACGGCCACGGCAGCGCCAATCGTGCGCAAATTAAAATATTATTAATTGTTAATTAAACGCAGTCGAATGCCAGTCGGGATGGCCGTGTTGTGGCATATTTTTCGATTCATCTTTAGCCAGATACGAGGTAACAGGTTATTCCGAAACGCCCCAGAGACAGATGATGCCGCAACAGAAGCAACGCCAAGGGACCCCATATGGTGCAGCAGTGCATCTCAAGTGCATTAAGTGCACGTTGATATTTTCAAATGCAAACTCCAACTCGAACTCCAAAGGAAAGGCAACATGTGCGCCAAGAACAACAAATACTCGTACAGACAGGCAGACAGACAGCTCGCACTGGATCTTTTATGAGGGAAAACGTTTCAGAAAGTAAATTCTAATTACAATTATGGAAGAGAAGACCCCCAGCACCTGCAGCCACCACTGACTCCTCGACTCCTCGACAATCCATGCGCATGCGCAGCGGCAGCGGCAGCGGCAGTGGCTTCCACTCTAACCCGATCCGATCCATAAAAATAGCTCACTAATTATTTGTATGCTAGGGTTACAATCCACATAAAAAACAAACAAACTGTCGAGCATTTTTATGGGATCTCTCTCTCTCTCTCTTGTGTTGCCCCGCTTTGTCTTTGTGCCCCCGCAAAGATTTTATTCGTTTTGTTTTTCAGAATTCGATGTTGATGAGTTTGTATTTTCAATAACAGTTCAATTTGCAGTGGAGTTGGTTGCGTTCTGCCTGCCTAGATGGTGGCATCTGGATCGCCGTATCCGCCATGCCATCGGGCCGTATTCGACCGATCCAGATCCTCCATGGACTGCATGTACTGTCGCAGCTGTGCAAGGACTCGGTCTGTGCGCTCCTCCAGATGATCCAGGGCCATGTTCAGAGCATCCAGGTTCATGATGACACTGTCCATAATGCGCTCTGTGTTTCGTCTGAGGACCACCAAAGCGTCGACGCTTGCATTCAGCTGGCGGCTCCTGTACCGCTGTGACTCCTCCGTCGGCTGCTGGTCTTCTTCGCTGCGGTCCATTGGGGCTGGGCTGGGCTGGGCTGGGCTTTCAGGCAGGCTAACTCTCGAGTGTGCAAATTGGAACTGTTATTGCCTATATGTAACTACAATATTGTTTTACTTAATACATAATTTTTATGTTATTTTTACAGGTGGTACGCTGAAGTGTAAAGCAAAATCACTTTCGTTCAAAAATATTGGAAAATATATACATACATGTATTTCCAAATGTTGATAATAGTTGGGGCTCTCAGTTCTGCTTACATATAAAAACTATGTAAATTTACACAAAAAATATGCTCTATTGAGGGGTGTATGGGTTTACGAGGATGCTTTTGAAAAGGATACAGGAATAGGAAACAGATAGCTTCTTGGAAAGCCTCTCTATACGTTTAAGCTTAGGCCTGCCCCGAGTTGAGGGATTGCTTAATGAATTACTAGAACTATCGTCTTCTATCCTCCCACTAAGGCCACACAATAGATAAATCTGCACAGAGGGTATCTGCTAGTTGGAGTACTCGATTATAGAACCCTTTGTTTTGTGTTTTGTTTGAAATGAGCAACCATTACAGGCGACGCTTAAATCGTTGACTTAATTAAATCCATTTACAAAATGGCACTGGCCATTATTTATACACATCAATTATAAATCGTGCGCTGCGCTTGCAATATTCATATTCACTTGTCAAAATGTCAACTCAAAATAGAATATTTATGCATTTTTATGTGGCATAACGCTCCACGAACTGTACTCCCAAACTGAAGCGTCCTATCGTGGATGGATGGGGGGAAAAATGACAATCCAAAACTATAAATACACGGCGTGCAACCGAAGTGGAAATCAATTTTTTTGGCCCCATACTGCGGCGGAGTGCCGCCTGAGGGATGCCATGCACTGCAAGGCCCTTTCTTGCCACAAAACTAGTTGCCACAAATTAACTTTGAATTGAAGGCAAATGGCTTTGCTTGTGGTTTGGCTTATGGTTCGGCTTCTTCCATGGCATTAACAGGATCGGGTTCCTGTTGGCCAGTTCTCGGGCCAGCTCCGGTTGACCAGCAACTTGGCTGCTGTTGGCCCGGCTGCTGTTCCACTCGTGTTGAACGTAATTAATTTTCATTGAAAGTGACTGCAGCATCGACTGTCCTCTCGACTGTCCATCGGCTGGAAAATGTCTGAAGTGTACTTCCTGCCACACACACAAGCCATTAACCGACCTGTTTCCGTCCATTCCGGCTCCTGACGTTTTCTTTGTGGCTTACTAAAATCTGTTATTATTGTCATTAAGGAGGCTTTTGTTGTCTGACGTTGGCACTGGATGGCGCTTACTCGCATGCATGCATTTTTCTCTCTTCTCATCCTCAAGGCTTTTGTTGTTTGGGATTCTGTGAGATTTTGCGTAGGCCATGTTCTTGAGACTGTCATCGGTTCGGTATTGAATTTTCCGCACAATTTAAGGCAAAAACTTGTTGCTACTCTTGTGCATGGCTTTCCTGCTGTTGCAGCACTTTGTGAATGCATTTTAAGGGCTGCCTCGTCATTAGTTGAAAGCGCTTAGTTTGCATCGTTTGTTGCCCTTTGGATACCCTTTTAATGAATTGAAAAGCTGTTTGTCACACACAGAAAAATAAGCATGTCCTGTCCATCCAGTACCTCAGTCCACTGGAACTATACAAAAAAAAGAGTGTCTGAGGGCTCCTCCGCCTTCTAGTTGGACTGTTTCTCGGTAGGTTTTCGTCATCAGCTTGTCATGGCTTTTACATTGTTTTGGCCAAATGAAGGCGTATCGTTTATGTGTGCTGCCACGTAAGCGGAGTCCTTGCTCGTTCTGGCCATTGTCCATGGCAGCCAGAGGAGGAGAGGGAGGCGGTCTGCCCTGGCTGTTCTACATACTCTTAAATAAAGTTCATAAACTTTGTCACGGCTTCGAGATCGTCTCGCCCCTTGGGCCGGGGACACGACTCCTCTGTGCCTGTACATGCAGCATAGTGCGCATCGTTGGGCTGTTATTGTTTTTGCCAACTTTTCACTTTGGTTATGAAATGTCCAAGGGGATTGCAAACGCCTGGCCGTACGTATCCTTGCAAACGGACCGGCCAGTCAGTTGCAGTCGTTTGCCAGGGCCCCATCATCATCTTTATGCGGCTCCTCATCCACCGCTGACCCGTGACCCGACTCTGTCCGGGCCATGGACGATGTGGAGTTTTTCGGCCAGGCTTTTCATTTCGCTTGAGTGTGAGTGTGTGAGTGCCCCCTGTGTGTGTGTGTGTGCTGTTATGCTTATATCCTGCGGCTTAAGTATTTGTTGTTTTACAACGGTTCAGTCTGTTTGCCAAGTAAATAAAAGCTGTTAACTAGTTTTCACACACCAAGACACAAAAGGAGAAGACAGCGACGGCGACAGCGATAGAGGGATAAAGAGAGAGAGAGAGAGAGAGCTACAGGTCACGGAGCATAGGATAGAGAAAGAGGCACGTGCTCGACAATTTTTTGCCTCAGTTGCTGCTCCTCAGCTCTAAACTGCTTTTGTGCTTTTGTGCGTAGCGCAGCACTCCTCGTGTATGAGCAATTATTTAATGCCATCCTTCTGTCCGTCCGTCTTGGTCCACTTGTCCGTGCTTGGGCTGTCCGTCTGTTCCTCTTGTTAACGTTGTCTTTGGGGCTGGCGCTGGAGCTGGGGCTTTGTCTCTGCCTCCACCTCTTTTGTGTCGCTCATTTATTTGTGTTTATCCTTTCGCTTTTAATTGTGGCTCTGTCCCGCTCGCTCTGTACGGCCTGTGACCGGGCATCTCTCTCGCACTCCGGCGTACAATTACAAGTGTTTGTTGGGTAAATAAAAGCGTTACCTCTCCGGGTCTTGAGTCCCATCGTTGACGCATCGTTTGCATGCTCACTTAATGCCGTCCACGGCATTGTCCCTGCCTCTGCTCTCTGTCTGTGGCATGTAAAATTAATTACACGAATTAAGCTTCCACTAAGGACTGATAGCCGCACACAGGTGTTGGCTGTTGTCTGTTGTCTGCTGGCTGCTGGCTGGGGCTCCTCAATGTAACGTATTTTCCTTAGATAATTCCCATACAACTTGCTGCACCTCCGAGAGAGAGGCGGGGTCATCAATTCATTCACCTATCGCGCACAGACACATGTGTTGCCCATTAGGACAAGGCCACGCCCACGCAGCCAAGGATGGGGCACGGCCAACGAACCATGCGACGCCAAAAATTTCCATTTGGTTGCTTGAACCGTGCATAAATATGTCAATAAGGATTTACCCCGTAACCCCAAGGCGCAATGAAATCTTAAAGAACTATAAAAAACTATGAGGGAAAACTGTAAGACTGGGGGGAAAACCCACAGCTAAAATAAACAAGGGAAAAGGGAACAGCAGCAGGAGCAGGAGCATCAGGATCGGGAGCTGGCAACCTGCCACGCATTTCCAACTGTTAAATTATGACATACAACTGTCAGAGTCGGTTCAAGTGGATCTGCTGCTGCCGGTGCTCCCTGGCAGGCGTGAGAAACTGTTATCCTTGCACCTAAACAAACACATTCGAAATGGAGATGCAGTAGCTGCACGCACAGATCCTTCAGACAGCTACTACACTCGTACGCATCCTCGTTGCTGCCGTCCTCCGGTGTCCAATGGCAAAATGTTGTCGATCCTTGAAATCCTTACGCATTACACGAGCAGCTAATTTATTTACTTTACTTTATCTGTGTATCCCGAACACATGTTGCAGGATAGTAATAATCAGAATGGTATGTTGCCGCATCCCGTGGCTGGCTGGCTGGCTCATTAGGTCCTGTCCTGCTGCTGCGGCAGTAGCACTTCAAAATTGGTGTTGACAGTTGCCCTGAGAAATTGCCTCGCCCTTCATCCCTTCCATCCCCTCCATCTCCTTCTCCAACATTCCCAAAGTCCTTGCTGTCCGTCCGGGACATGCTAATGTGAAATATTACAGAAATAATGGAAAAAATGGAGAAGCCATCAAGATGAACGAACGCGCTTGAGCACTCTAACTCCGCTCAACACTTTTCACTTGATGTCAGGAGCCGGGAGCCGGGAGCCGGGAACCGGGGGCCCCTTTGCCGTGGGAAACTTCGGTGTTCAGGTTTAACCAGCACTAATCCTTTACCTTAAGTACTTTGCTGCATTTTTGCTGGCAGAGAACACTCCACTCATCGCCCTCTGCCCCGCGCCCCGCGCCCCGCCGCCAGTGTTCTTCTAGGGCCCTTTGAGGCTGAAGTGCTGTTGTCGAGCTGCAGCGCTGAGTGGCTCGGAGTTTTGACAATTAAGGGGGTCACAGTGGAGTGGTGCTGTGCCAGCACGGGATGGATGTATCTTCATAGCGCTTTCGGCTCCCGATAAGGCAGCCCAGCCATGTGCTCCTCCATTTGCATACGCAGACGTTGCGCACATAAATCATCAAAATCGAATCGCCACAAAAAGCAGAAACAGAACCAGAAAGCAGCGCCTGCCAAGCGGCACCACGTGCACAAAGTGTGACCCGATTTTGGCCACATTCAAACCTGTCAGGGAATTCGCTTAAATAAATATAAAATTGCATCACGTGCAGCGCCAATCGAAAATCCAAAAAAAAAACACAAGAGAAATAATGAAAATTCTTCATGGGAGCTCACACAGACAGCAGCCCTTCTGCCTGAGGAACAAATTGCAGTCGGATCCGTAATTGCGCCGAAAAACGTATAAAGAACTCCACATGGAGGCTGCGTAATTATGCCCTTGAAGAGGGTATTGCGGTTCCACCCAGATGTTGTGCCGATATAAAGTGGCACAGTTTTGGAGCTCTATGACTGAATCTTTTCGTAGATAAATATATACAATTATGAAGCAATTCGGAACATAAATCATACCTAGTACATATATATGCGAGGGTATCTAAATTGTCGTTCTTCAATGTTCTCATTCTACTCTGAATTCAATTTGCATTGAACTGAGGCAAAGACGGAACGACTTATAGCCAGGCAGCGATCGACACATGCCCTCGAGTGCGTCAAATCCAATAAATTCATAGAAAAATTGTCGCAAGTGGAAGGGTTATTCGAACAACGGAAACTGAGGGGGTGAGGCAACACCTTTGTGGGGCTGAAACTCTTTAAAATGCTATTTCACACAAGCGGGAGATTAGCCTCGACGATTGAATGCCCTTGAGTGTTTTTATACCCCTTTATGTTTTGGGAAAAGACTCCACTCGCGGACAAACTTGATCCCCAAATCATGCTACCTTTATTGTGGTTTTCCCTTGGACAGAAAAACAGAATATGAAATATACATATTTCACGTTGTACGTTTTTGTCGTTCGCTTTGCTATTTTTAACTAAAAACCACAGCCGGCAACTGCTCCACTTTGCTCCACTCCACTCCACTCCACTGTGCTGTGCTGTGTGTGCGCTGTGCACTCTGGCCGCACTCCGGGTTGTGCTCTATCGTGGCACTACTTTATTCCGGCACTTGCCATCTCTTTTTTACCCAATATCAAATTATCCTTTGGCTCTGGCGCTCTATGTCTCTATGCTCCATTTTGGTGTGGCATGTATGTTTTTGTTGTACATCTCTCTGTTTATTGAGCTCTAGCTATACGAGAGAAAAATCTACATAAATACGTCCATATGTGCATATATGTATGTGCTGTATGGGTTGTGTGTAAATTGTAGTCTTTTTGTTGGTTTTTTATTTATTACTAATGGGCTGGGTATTGGTATGTTGTTGTTGTACTCGTATTGCTTCTGCTGCTGCCACTTCTATTGCTGTTGTTTTACCCGGTACTTATAGAGTATTACTAGGGGTATATTGTGTTTAAGTATATTTCCGGCGGTACCTTATCCTTTGTATATTCATAGAATTTTATAAACTATACCTTAAACGACGCCTAACTAATGCCAGAGTTTTAAAAGTTTAAATTTTGAAAAAATTCCTTAAAAAATTATTAAATTTTCAACTTGAAAGCTTACTACTACCCAGACCGTAGGCTGAAGTTTCAAAGTGTTCAGGTCGAATTTTTAGGTACATTTATCAGCTTTTCAGAATTGCCTGGTTCATTACCACCAGATGTAAGATACTGAAGTTATAAGAAAAATAAGCAGTGCCTCTAAAAATAATATTGGCAAAAAATACCATTTTTTAAGTCGGTTTTATTCGTTGCATAAAAATGCTGTTTTATAGTGTAACCGATCATGGTATTTGATTTATGAAAACCCGTATTTCGATGAGTGAAAAAGCCAAAGCTACCAGAAATGTGATGGCAAAATTTCAAGTTTCTCTTAAATATTTCTGCAATTGTTTTTTACCTGCATTTCGAGACCTTTACCATCATTTTTAAGAGGGCTGTTTGTATAGTTTTCGGCTGTTGGAATTGACAACAGGGTATCTTTCAGTCGACTCTTGTACCTACTGGTTGCTGCTGGGCGCATATTGAACATTACGTACCGCGGACGCGGCTGAGGCTGCGGCTGATGCCGCGTCTCATCTGTGCAGGAGGTGAATTTTCTATTTATTGGCTGACAATGTGAGATTTGTAGTGTGTGTGTTTTTTAAAAGGGGTTGCCTGGCATTCTAAATGGCTTGTCACTCGAGGAGTTGGCCGCACTTTCGGGCCATATCGGAGCCGCACAAATTGCCAAACTTTTGAAACTCGACCAATTATCCGGGTCAATGGGGAATGGAATGGAATGGAATGGAATGGCTTGAGTGCAGCCAGTCGATTGGCTCGACTGAACGAGTTTCGCAGCACAGTCGACCGACGCGCCGTCGTCTGATATTCGCGGTGCCGACCGATCAAATTGTTTTCGCCACTCTCCCAGCCCGGTTGTGGTCGCTCTCCAAGTCAGCGGGAAAATGTCTATAACGAAGACTCTGTCGAAGCTGAGAGCTCATGTCGCTGTGGCAATCCTTGCCGTGCTCTCCCCACTCCTGTTGCTAGTGGCTCTGATGTGGAAACTTTTTGGCCAACTCTTCTGCTGCTGCTCTCCCAAGAGCGTTGTGGGCGAGGTGGCTGTGGTGAGTTTTTCGCCTAAACAACATCAAGCCCAAAACCTTCAATCACAGGTGGTTGTATCTGAAAATAGGTAACTGGAGGTGGTCATGGCCTGGGACGAGCCATAGCCCTGGAACTGGCCGACAAGGGCTGCCACATAGCCGTTGTAGACATCAATCTGCCAGGAGCCGAGAACACTGTCAAGCAGATCCAGGAGAAGGCAAAGGTTCGCGCCAAGGCCTACAAGGTACGCAAACGGGTTTCCTACAACTATTCGAACTATATACACAGAGTAATTACATCAATTAATGGATTTCAGGTTGATGTCAGCAATTACCTGGAACTTGTTGAGCTAAACAACCAAGTGGCTGGCGACCTGGGCCCAGTGACGGTGCTTATAAACAATGCAGGAATCTTGTTGCACCGCAAATCTTTGGATCCGGAGCCGAGCGATGTGCAGCAAATGATAGATGTGAACCTGGCTGCGCACTTTTGGGTGAGATCCCTCTATAAATGGCAGCTATCATCACTTATATTTCCCTGTCCTTCCCTTTCAGACCCGGATGGTATTTCTGCCCACCATGAAGGCGATGCGCAGGGGTTACCTGGTGACCATCAGCTCCCTAGCAGGTGAGAAACCCCCTCGATGATCGTTCCTTTTCACAACTGTCTGCCCTTTCAGGCCTGTTTGCCGTGCCCTACAACACCACCTACTCGGCCACCAAGGCCGGCACGACGGCCCACATGCGGGCTCTGCGCATGGAGCTGAGTCTGGAGCGGCAGAAGGACATCCATGTGTGCACGGCGATGCCCACCTTCCTGGAGGCCAACGAGGAGCTGGCGACTCTCACAAATCAGGTGAAAATCTCCAGCGTGTATCCCCTGATCAGTGCCAAGGCAGCTGCCCGCCGGATTGTGCACGGCATGCTCCGAGGCGAGCGGGAGATATTGCTGCCAGGGCTGGCCTCCTTTCTGTACCGTCTGCTCACCCTGCTGCCCGTCGGCTGGCAGGATAAGGCGATAATCATCATATCTGGCAGTAAACTTGAACAGTTTTGCACGCTAAGGAAATAGGTAAAGTTGGCTATTGATTTGGTGATGTAAAAAGTGTACAGGTGGCTGGCGATGGAGTTGCGATTTAAAACCGATTAAAGGCACGTAACTTGCAGGTGGCCAACAGGCGAGACTACAGATTGTTGGTTCATGTGTTTTTCATTTAATTTCAGTCAGCAGCCAGCCAGCCGGCCAGCAATGCTTTAATTTTGCCTGCTCTGTCCGTGGCTGTGCCCGGACCGTGCCAAGTCCGTGTCCGTGTCCGTGTGCGCCTGTGTGTCCGGGTCCAGGGTCTGGGCACTGCCTCGATGTCTGCATTTGTCAGTTGGGCGGCTGGGCAGGATTGTGCGGCGACATGCAATCAACTTGTCAGCAGGCGTAGCAGTCTTTTTCTTCTTTCTCTTTGTGTGCGACTCTTTTTCTCCATTTTAAACTCTTTTCTCTCGTCTCGGTTGAATCTCATTATGCAACTTTTATGAGGTCATTGAGGCGGCGTGATTTATATATTTTGCAAAATTAAAAAAGCTTAACAAAGGTTTTTAAAATTTCATGATCCGTGTCGAGTCAAACAGAATGTCTGTTGCACTCTTCTGTCTGTTTGCCTGTTGGCCTGTTGGCCTGTCCTCCTTCTGTGTCAGTCGCCTTGCATTTTCATTTTGTTTGAATATTCAGGGTTTTAGGATCGCGTTCCACAAACCTCCAACATTTTTATAACTTATTGTTGTGTAATAGGGTCAAATGGTTGGTGGAAGGGGGAGGGTGGGGGGTAGCCCATTAAAAAGAGTGGAATGAAGAAAGAACTACTTGTATTATTTTGGTTAAAGTGATTTTTTACCCCACGCTTTTCTTTTCCATTGTGCCTGACAGTCGTTGCGACGACTGCCTTTGCCTTTGCCTCTGCCTCTGCCTCTGCTTTTTCTTTATCTTTATGCTGGCAGAATTAATGCAACACATTAAGAAAAATATTGCCAGCGTGCCAGTGGGGGAGTGGAAGTGGGAGCTGGAGCTGGAACTGGAGCCGTAGCAGACTTTCCCATTTTTCTTATTTTGGAGCACAGACATATACATATACATATACACGATATACACACTGCATTTCTTGCATATTTTTCCCGTTCTTCTCTTTTACGCGCCGTGCCGCGCTTTTCTTATGCTCCTTGGCCTCTCCCCCCCCTCGGCTCTGGCGGGGTATCTGTCCAGGACGCTTTTATTTTATTTATGCTATCACTGCAACCTGAAATGCTTTGGCCACACACACACACACACACACACATACAAAAGAAGAGAGACATACACACACACACACAGCTAGAAACAGGACAGGAATGGAGACGAACTGCTTTTATGCGAAATTTCTTTCCTGCTGCATCTGCTTTTTCTTTTCAGTTTCAGCCAAGCCAAGCCAAGCCAAGGACATCAGGCCGGGGCCAGGACATCAGGCCGGGCCATGCCATGCAATGCCAGGCTCGTATTCGTCATAGCATATGCATGAAAATTTTAGTAAAATTAAGAATAATATAAAAAGAAATTCCAGCAGAGAAAGGAAACGCTTTTTTGCAAATGAAAAAATAATGCTGCGACATGCAAAAACCAACATCAAGAAATGAGTAAAAGTTGAGTATCCTTCTTGCCTCCGCTCAGACGGAGAAGAAAGTAAAGAAATCTGTGAGATGAGAGTAGATATGTGGGAGAATCGGATTGATTGTGTGGGAAAAAGCCTTAGCCGGGGAACACTTCCTTGCCATGGCATACATAATTCCCCATTAAAAAGCCGTTAATGATGCATGTCCCTCCGCCCAGCAGACCCCCATCGGCCCCAGACGTGTCGCATTGAACGCCTCAATGGCAGACTGATTGAAAACCCAAATGTGCTGCCCCAGCTGATGGAGTCGGGATACGCCCCTTGTATATCTTCGAAGGCGCTCACTTTTTTCTTTTTTTTTTAATTTCGGTGGGTTGTCTGCGGACAAACGAGGCATTTCCGTGCCTGATTATCGCTTCTGGCGCACATCATCCACTGGGAGAAGGGTGCGCCCCGACCCCGACCCGATACCGACCCCCGACCCGTTCGATTCCCGACTTAATTATGAGCTGCCATGTGAAATGCGTGGGAAGGTTGCATCACAGCCAGTACCAGCCCCCCCATGGGATCAATTGGATTAAGGTAGCTGCGGCCTCACCTGTTGTACATCCACTCGCATTTGCATTAACCAAGAAATGAGAGACAGTTAGACCTGACTTGGGTGGTAATCGAGTTGCCGTGCCGTCAATCAAGCTTAGTGGAACTGCATTGTGGAATCCCAATCAAAAGGCAAATCAACTGCCAATCTGCCAAATAAATGTAATGAAGAGTTGTATCTGTATCTGTATCTGCATCTGTCAGTGGTTGTGGGTGTGCTTTGGCAGGATGCTCACAAAATTTTCATTTACATTTTCTATTTCCATTGCGGCCTGTCGACTGTTGACTGTTTGCTGGTGAAAGCTAATTAAAAACAGACCAGGCCATGGCCATGGATAAGGTGCAGGTTACCAATTTTGATGGTCCATTGATTTGCTATGCAAACACACAGACTCGCGGTACAGACAGGCATTAAATGTCATGGTCCTGCAATGCCGTTCGAGGGGCAGGACCCAGACCTGGACGGTGGCATAAATCACATGTTTAACTAATTAAACGAAACAGTAAATAACGATCTGGGGGCTGGTCACTGGCTCTAGGGCTATGTCGGTTTAATGAGTAGACAAAATGCCACCGTTAAACGCCCTCGGGGCACGCAAATGCGGCCGATCATAAAAGTACTGGCTATGAAACCCCCTCCCACCCCCGCACCCCATCATATCCTGCAGATGGGTCTCCGAGTCTGGTGTCCCCTGGTGCAATAATCATAAAAATTGCATATTAAAATTCATTCGGGGGGCGTGAACTGTGTCGGATTCCCTTTATACGAGTACCACGCCACAGACTCTGCTCCTCAGATCGCCTCCTTTTCTTTTCTCTCCCTTCGTTTTTGTATTTTTATTGTGCGATGCCTTTAAAATGTGTTTATAAATACAGTCAATTTGCTGTCAACTTTTGAACCTGCCACATGTGTTCGGCTTCGGCTTTCGAGCTGTAAAATGTCAAGAGGTCAACGGCAACAGCTCATTATAATGCCACCGCCGCCTAGACCGGAGTGAATGACACTCTGCGGAGAGACCAAAATCCGAAAGAAGAAATCGTTTTGAATATTCGAATTATGCTAAAACATACATATTTCGCTGCACCAGATCGGAGACGATAGCAGCGGCGACTCCGACATGCAAGTTAACGTACCCAATTCCATTGAGCTCTTATACGAGTTGTAAACAATCTTTGGCTTTCCAAAACGAAAACAATTTCAATCTTGGGCCTCCGCCTAATTGATTTCTAAGATGTACAATCTCAAGCGCCCCCGCCGCAACCCCAATCTTTGACACTCGCCTAAATGGAAAACCAATGTTTGCCCACACCCGGCTTCTCATAAACAATCTCACTCCCGGCTTTCTGCAGATCCTGCACTTTAGGCCTTTTACAGTTCTCTCTTTGGATGACGAAATCCAATACTCGGGATGGCGAAATCAATTGAAATGTTTATAGAAAAACGATTCCCGAAAGGGATCAACGATGCAAAGATCAGAAAGTTCAAATCAGTCTTGATCCAGCAGCGACACCGCAAAGTCTAGCTAAATATTAAGATCGCGCAATCCCTTGGCCCGGAATTCCTTTGTGACCCTCTACTTAAATCTATATCAGTGAAGTTCGAAGTAAAATAAAAACTTTTTAAAAACACAATCCGCTACCGCAGTTGTTTAATTGGCGCCCAACGTGGGGCGACGTTGTCTAAAAAGCACCGAATGATAAAAGTGTTGCGTCGTGCCGAAACCCGAAGGACAATTAATTAATGGAATAAATCCTTCAAAATTAAAAACGCGGAGTGACTGTGTGATATAGATAAAAAAAAGTGAGATAAAAAGGAAACAAACCGGAGCTTAGGGTGTGCAAAAACAAATACAAATACAAATACAAATACAAATACAAATACAAATACAAATACAACGCAAAATACAAATAAAACAAAAAGCTAATCAAGGCAATTCGTAAATACAAAAAAAACCAAAGAAACCCAAAGTTTTTAAAAAAACAAAACCAACAAAACCGACAAAACCAAAATACAAAGAAAGTGAAACGATCAGCGAAGCCAAAGAAGGAAGACCCCCAGAAGACCCAGCTGAGCAAAGAAATTTAAGAAGGAAGACCCGTTCGAAGATCTGCCAAACTAAGAAGGACGACCCCTACCGGATATTTCGTGAGCAAGAGTTGTATTAATAAATATATAAGTTCAATTAGGATATATAAGATTATAAAAACTAACATATAAGAAAAATTAAAAGTGGATCAGCTAACTTTAGATTTTGAAAAACTAAAAATGATTAACTCTCAAGCAAGGACCGATCTCACAGCAGATCTGGTCAAACAATTGATAGCACTTCAAATTTCACAAGTACAAGAGCAAATTGTAAATTTAAAACAGCAAATAGAAACTAAATCCGATCAGGTATCGGATTATCAGGCAGAAACAATAGACGAGACAATAAGAGACGACACCACATTGAAGGTAATAGAATCCCTACCAATTTTTAATGGTGGATTAAACCAATATGTAGGATGGAGGGAAGCTGCAGAAACTGCAGTGAAGTTATATAAGAAAGGAAGTAAGCAATATTATATTGCATTAACAATTTTGAGAAACAAAATAACAGGACCAGCACATGACGCACTGACCAACCACGGGACAGTTCTAAATTTTGATGCCATACTTTCACGGCTTGACTTTGTTTACAGTGACAAGAGACCTATTTACATAATAGAACAGGAATTAAGCGTTCTCCGACAAGGGAACCTTTCAATTATAGATTTCTATAACGAGGTTAACAAGAAAATGACCTTGTTAATAAATAAGACAATAATGACTCACGGAAAGGACAGTGAGATCACCAAGGAATCAAATAAAAAAATTAGAGACAATGCCTTACGCATTTTTGTCACTGGCCTAAACGGCGGCATTGCTGAAATCCTATTTTCATTGAATCCCCCAGATTTACCGAATGCCTTAGCAAAGGTACAGGAATTGCAATCTAATAACATTCGGGCCCAATTTGCCTACCAATTCAGCGGTCCCAGAAATTCAGGGAATAATAATTTTAATACCTTAAGATTCAACCAACGACAACCTAGGACTAACAGTTCACCATTCGACCAAAAAAGGGATTTGCAGAGGAATAACATGTCTTGGGGACAACCCTATTTCTTGGGTAATAGACAACAAAATCAGGCCCCAGAACCAATGGAGGTAGACGAATCTATACAAATCCGGAACCGACAGAACAGCAATCAATTCAGGGGAAATAATAACAATAGAAATTATCGGGAGAATACTAACGGTTATTTTAGGAGAAATAATAACAATTATAGCCAAGCCCAGCATTTTAGGGCAAACGTAGTCCCGAATAATCAGTCTAACGACAATCCAGCGCAGAAACGAAAACTAAACGAAATGTCGGAACAACCGGCTAATAAAGCAATGAGGATAAATAACATTGAGGAGGATCATTTTTTAGATCAGCCCCCGAAGTAGGTCTGCCCTACCTAAAAAGAGTAGACAAAAAAATAAACAGAGAATTAAAAGTTTTGATAGATACGGGAGCAACTTCCTGTTATATAAAAAAAGGAATTTACGACAATAAAAATGAATTACCAATCTATAAGAAAGTTGCTACAGTGAATGGGTTTTCAATAATTAAATATTTCCATAATATAACAATTTTCAACACAAAGCAAGTGTTTTATGAAATAGATGGAATGGAGGCAGATTTACTAATAGGATTTAACCTATTAAAGAAAATCGGAGCGGTTATTGATACAGGAAAGGGGACTTTAAGTTATAAAGACAATGAGGAGAAACTAATATATGACGAGGTCCTTTCTTTAAACAAATTAACCTTTATAGAAGGAAAAACCATCCTTCCGTTGAAGGAATATATAATAAAAAAATATTTTGAAGAAGAAAAAGAAATGAAAAGCGATTCAGTAAAGGTAGAAGGAAGTTTATATAGCTTGGGATCAAAAAATCCTGAGCACGCCGACGAAGAATTATCCGTCAATAGTTTGGGATTCAAATATCCTGAGCCCGCCGTCGTTGAATTATCCGACATCCAAAGTTTTAATAGTTTGGGATTAAAATATCCTGAGCACGCCGTCGTTGAATTATCCGACACTAAAAGTTCGAATAGTTTGGGATTAAAGAATCCTGAACACGCCGTCGTTGAATTATCCGACAATAAACAATTTAAAAGTTTGGGATGCAAAAATCCTGAACGCGCCGTCGTAGAAATATCCGACATTCAAAATTATGCAAATTCTGAATTGAAAAAAATGAAATTGTATAACACAATAACCTACAAAGAGGACAATTTAGAAAATCTCAGAGAGAAAATGGTATCTATCATCGAAGAAGACCATGCCA